TGTCATTAAAAACAGCCCCAAAGATGACAACATTTTCTTTTCTTCTTAAAAAGCCCTAATTGACCTCGTTTTGTCTATTATTAATTTAATTGAGTATTTTCTAGAAGGGGAATAATTTAAAGGTTCTAATTATGATTCATTTTAATTGTAACAACTTCAGAACATCATAATTAGACATTTTCATTCATTAATTTACACATCAATGAAAGTTTTCAATTAATTGTTAATTTTGTCATTTATTTCCTATCAAATGTCAGTCATATTGTAGCATGACATTTCTCTAAAGTTAAATCTTACTGTTGCAAATATTTAACTTGACTATAAAGTCAATACTTTTTAGAAGAGATAAAAAAATCAATTCAAATTCTTCACAAAAGAGAAGCTTTTAATTGCCAATTTGTGGCCAAAGGAGCCTTTTACTTATTGCGAAGCAGAAAAGGAAGGGAAGAGAAAAAGATGTGTCGCCAGGGATTTTTTGAATATCCTCGACTTTTATGATTTTGCACCTTTAATATGGTAAATGCTGTCATTTTTTGGTCTGCTCCTTTGTACGCTGATCAAACTTTCCAAAAAAAACAACAATCAAGCTAAATCTGCTTAATTTAACAAAAAGTAAAGTGTTAATTCTCATTCAAGATTTAATTTAATTAAATTATTCAAAAATCATAAAAAATGAAAAAATAAAATCTTTAAGCTTGTTCTTTTTGTTTTGAATCATGAAATTAGATTTCACCACAGCTTCTTGAATTTTTAATTTAATTTCAGCTCATGCATTATTCTTTTAATATAATCTGAACTCTTCTAAAGCAGATTGAATTGCCTCAAGATTTTCATTTCGTAGTAATTTTATTAAATGTCTCAAATGTGAAGATATCTTCGTCTGAATACAATGAGCATTTCCTTTACTTAATCAATTTAAAGCTTTAAAAGCAGTCACAAAAATGTCATCTTAAAGTTCATTACGAAAAATTAATTACGTCTTACCAAGAAATCTGGTTGAGACATTAACTCAAAATAATTAAGCATGTGCTGTTCATGGGCGGAAGTATGTAAACATGTTATCTTAAGGAACAAAAGGAATATGTTTTACATAAAGCCTTAAAAGCCACCTAAAGATTTGAACTTTAAATAACAAGATTTGGAAAACTTTTCATGCTGTACTGAAATTATTTTCACCTCAGGATTTTTTTTTAAAGGAATTTAAGGTAAGTGAATAAATTTTGGGATAATTTAAAGATTTATCATGTTTGCTTTTGATCTTCTAGCCTTCTAAGAATGACTTTGCATAAAAATGACCCAACTACCTTCTTCGGGATATACTTTTAATATATTCCTAAAAAGTCTTGTAAGAGGAGATCTCATTGAAAGAAGTTGGTATGCAAAACTAGTTTCCCAATGTTTGTTGCAGCACGTTACCGATAAACAGGCTCAATATGCATAGAATCCTGATAATAAACAGATTTTACGGAGATTTAAAAGGATAAATTAATCGATTCTTCTTTTCTCTTACAAGAAACTTTTTATATCCAATTTCATATCGCACGCATACAACAACAAAAAACCCCTTTTTTCATGATAAGAACGTGAGTGTTAGACTTATAAAAGGCTTAAATATTCAATAGAAGAGTGTTGCTCATGTGTTAAAATCCATATTTTGTCTATAAATATGAATTTTTTGAAATCCTTAAATAAATTGTAAAGAACAATTTGAAAAGCTGATAAAAGCTTTTTGTAAGAAAATTGAGAATGCAATTCCTTAAAAACATTTCCATCAAAAGAGTCTTGGATTCAGATAGGATTAAATTTATTTTCAATTTATCAAAACTGATCAAAACAAGTTTCATTTTTTTTTTGACTTTATGACAGTTATAGGCAAGGCGTGGAAACTATCCGAAATATCCCATTTATCCCATATATCCTAAAAGTATTCAAAATAATCCCTGAGCCTGTATGCATTAGCATTGAAATATCCCATCATATCCTGCAATTACACGTCCAATACACTAAGGATACGTTGGGATATCTTTATTATCGTGCATGCATGTTCAGGAATTTTTTGAAAATTTTTGGGATATGTGGGATAAATATGATATTTGGGATAGTTTCCACGCCTTGGTTACAGGTCAAACTAGTCAACCTATTTGATAAGGCAATAAGTTGAGCATTAAGATATTTTGGTGCAAAAGTAGTAAAATATTAACTTAATGTATCGAACTATCATGCCAGCAAGTGTTTGGATTTTTATTCGGATAAATCCCAAGTGTACATTGAGCATCAACGCAAACACTCATTTTTTAAACTGTACATATTTAATAATCTGAGCCTTGAATCAGCTTACAATTCCTCCTAAATTAGATACTGCACCAATTTCATACCAATTCACAAATTCAAAATTAAATCCTACATGTTTAAGCAATTTCAAAGACTTTTAAAATACATTAGGTTTAATATCAAATAATGCTTTGGGCTCGTTCACTTATTACGTAACGCAAAAAAACGAGTTTTTAGACCCCCCCCCCCTCCCCCTGTAACAAACCGTAACAAAATCTTAGACCCCCCCTCCCCCCCTAGTGCGTTACGTAATAAGTGAACGAACCCTTTTCGTATCCAACAAATTTAATCAAAATTTGAAGATCCAAATTTTAATTCTGAATAAAAATAATTCAACTTGTTTTACCTCATCTTCCACAGCCTTTTGTTTTTGACATACGCTTCACTCGAATGTTTTCTTCCTTAAAAAAATTTTGAGTATTTAACCAGGCATGCAATAAAAGTCACACGTATTTCTGCTTCAAAAAACATCTTCTAAACCAAAGCTTATGAAAAAATAAATTTACGACGAAAAATAAGAAATTTGATGACATTAAAAAATGTGTGAAATGTGAAGGCGTAAAGGCAGAATTGTCAAGTCTATCGATATCTTATCAACATTTTCGTTGTCTAGTCCTGTGTTTCTCAAACTTTTTAAGTCTCGGGGCATTAAATTCTTGTTCATCTTATCATGATGAAGTGGCTCATATTATGACATCCCAAATATTTTCTCATGGAACCGTAGTAAGCTCTAGGCAAAGTATAACTTGAGAACTACTGTTCTAAGCACATTCAAACTTTAAGACAGTTGGAAAAAGTTAATTGTTTCAAAATAGAATTAGACTGATGCTGGTTATGATGTCCTCGAGCATTAATTCTAGAATTTGATGATATACAAAAACTGCCATGACAAAGCTCAGCACTTATGTATCCAACAACTCTGCTTAAGAATTAAATTAAATCCCACATTAAGTAATTAATTAATTTTCAATTTTTTTTACACAGCTTAAGATTCTGAATGGAAATGTCAATTTAAGAAGAAAATTAATTAAAATTAAAAAAGAAAAGTAAATACGAAGAAATTGTTGGTAAGTAAATGATGAATTTATGATAAAAATATCAAGCGACAAAAAATCAAATAAGCAAGTAAAATGCAAAGTTGACATTTTTGGAACAAAAGAAGTATGAAGAACAAAATTGCTTATAAATCAAATTTGCTCCTTTTTACAAGCTCAATTTCCTTTTAATCTTTTTAGATAACCCTTAAATGTTGTTACTTGTCTTTTTTCCACTCTTTATATTCAACAACTTGGAGTCAAAAGATCCATCTCTAGGAGCCAGAGCCTTTAAACGTTTGTGTTAAGCTAGTCTTGATAAATTCAGTCTTTTACCCGAGCGGCACAAAATTAACTTTTTAATTTTCTGGGAATTGGTTCATTCAGATCTGAACATACAGACAATTCAAGTCATATTCATCACAAATAGGAACTGATATACAAACATGACATAAATGTTCATTTTAATATAAAAAGTTGAAACTACAAACTTGCAAAGCCAAGGAACTTCTACTCTTCTTAAAACACATCTAGTTGCATCAACATGAAAGTTTTTGTAAAAGCGTGTAACCTAAATTGCTAAATACAGAATGACGAGTAATGTTTGTGGAGTTTTACGTTAATATAGTTTTATAATGTATGAAGCATTAGGTTTCATGTTCTATAAGTAAAAAAATTTGAAAAGCTTTTAATTGTGCATTTGAAGTTAATTTATATTGAAAATCTTTCAAGCTTTAACTTTTGTAGCTGAAGATGGTATCTTAATGAAGATTCTGAGAAAATAAACAGAAGGTAAATAAATTATAATCTAGATTAGTGGTTCTCAAACTTTTATGTAAAACGAGCATCTCAATAAGAAAACAAATTCAAGCCGACTAAGTTCGCGGTTCTAGACGTTTCATGGAAAGAAACACACTATTAAATACAACGAATCCCAAATTTAATTCGAAGTCGTAAATCTCTTTATAAACTTTCATTGGTACTCAGTTTAAAAACGAGAAGCCAACGTCGAAAAGATTAGTTTCAGAAAGTCAATCATCTAAAGCAGTGTTGTCAAAAATGTGTGCCGCGGGAAACTAGTGTGCCGTTGAAATTTTTTGAAAATGAGACGAGCCTTATGCTGTATGCGACTGCGATCATTACTTAACCTTAAGGTTTGTGTTGGCTCAAAAAGTTTTGACAACCCTGATCTAAAGGATTGCATCAGATTGCATAAGTATCGTATAGCCCGCGTATCATTACACGAATACCAAAAAAAAAGTTTTATGAAAGAAAAATGGAATCTTCAATAGAAATAAGAGTCAGACAGAAAAAAGAAATAGCCTTGAAAAGTGTAAGGAGATCCAATGACTTGTATCAAAAAATGACTTAAAGTAATCCTTCCTCCCACCATATTTTTTAAAAGCAAAACTTATGAATTATCATTGAATCTTACTACCCTCAGCCTGCAAACGTATGAATCCTTTTAGGGGTCATTCACTTATGACGTTGGAAGTTTTTATGTAAATTTACAATTGACAATTCTTAAAGATTCAACGACGATTTAAAAAATTTAAAGTCTCTAGACACGAAAAAGTTGTTTATTGTGTTTATGCACTAAAGACAATTCACTCGGGAAATTTCTCATTTCCCAAAGTAAAGCAAAGGAGACAAATAAACAGAAAAATGGAAGTAAAACCTCAAAAGAATAATTTATTTCAATTTACGTTTTTTATTCCTTTTTTTTTTATTTAAGACAAAGAAGTAATAATATTCATAATAACTCAAATTTCAATCATTCTGCAATATTTTATGCCTTATCAAGTATCGAATAAGAAGATATGAAAAATAAAATAAAATAAATATAATGAAAAGGATATCAGATATATATTATGAAAAATGACAATATTATTTTATTGGATGTTTAAAGGGTTGTGACATCGGTATCAATTCGTACAGTTGAATTTGAACTCGTCTTGAGATTTAGCTCCATTTCTTGTATAGCTGCTGTCACGTAATATAAATTTTCCATTAATATTGAATAAATTTCATTCAACTCGGGCTCGGATCGCGAGAGAATAAAAGCATCTAAACAGAATAAAAATATCCCGAAGGAACAAAAAACAAGAAATAAAAATTAAATAATTGATTGAAAGGAATGCTTAAATGTTCGCGTACCATTCTTGTGTTTTGTCAAGCTCTCCGCATAGACGTTCATTATGATGGACATTTCATCTGATGATTTTGATTCCTCACACAAGCTGCTATCTAAACTGACGACGGTGAAACTGCACGAATCAGATACTTGTTTATATTGTTTAACGTGCTGTATTGTCGCATGCCATCTACATAGGAAAAATAAAGAGCAATAAAAAAATATGAAAACTTTACATTATCCATCAAGGCTTTTGTATCATCAAACCTTTGTTTGTCAATCAATTCATAAATTGTATTTTCAAAATCACTCGTATTCATCGGTAATGGTGACGAGTGTGTAGGAGTTGTACTTTCACCTTCTGTTGATGTTGAGGTATCCAACGATTCGAGTTCTACATCATCTATGCTCCGCAATATTGCTCCTTTGATTTTCAAATATTCTTCAGACATATCGTACATCTAAACGAGGGATGAGAAATGAATAATAAATAATAAGAATATCGGTATAAGGAACACAAAATAATGTTTTTCTCTTTTATATTCAAATATAGAACATCAATCTCTTACCAACTCATTCTTTTGTAAATTCTGATAGATTTGTATAGCAATTTTATGATCAGCTTCTATCAACAAAAGTAATTGAAACATTAACTTATACAATCCACGTCCAAGGTCGATGAGAATTTCAGAAATTCCGGGATCTAATGAAATCTGGTCGGTGCTAGATGTACTTTCGTTCATTTGTTCCACATCTCCAAAAATGTTGAATTTCATAGATGATTTGATTGACTCAATTCCCTCCATGACATGATCCTTTCGATCAAAGAATGTCTCCAAATGCTCTTGAATTTCTAATACGGAATAACGTAATGATTCGACAAGTCTTGGAGTACTTGCAACTTGCTGATTATACCATAATTTGGGAGGTTCTCCCTTCGAAGATAATAAATCTGATAAAATCGATATTCGATTGCCCAAGGGCGTCAAATTTCCCGTAAAATACTTAATACAGTCCTTGGATATTTCATTACACTTTATCGTCAATTCTCGTATTAATTTGTATAATTGATGAAGCAGTATGGGGGGATGTGATGAGGGCTGATTAACAAGCAGTGCGAGTAAACATTTTCTCCAACTTTCTTCACTTTCATCACGCGTCGATGCTCTAAATGTTAGCATGCCAGGCAAATGTGGAGATGCATTACATGGAGTAATGTCCAAATCACCAGCACTAGAACCACTTGTGTCACTTCTCGATACTGAATCTCTTCGTCTTCTTTCACGTAAACTTAATGAAAGTGTCGGAGCGCCATAAGATTTTTGGAAACTTGGTTTATCCTCATCCAATGGTGATTCTGCTTCTTCATCGGAACTGTCATCAGGATTAACTCTGCGCTTCTTACTCATTACTGGTGTCTTTTCACTGACACTTTCATCATTTACATTCGAATGTGTTTTTGTCAATGGCTCACTATCACCCTCCGATAAAGGACGTCTTCGTACGCCCCAATTAAAGTTGTCTGTTGACTCTCCTTCAATGCTTTCGCTCTCATACTCAAGAAAATCAAAGTCTTTAAACACACCAAAATCGGGTGGTCCATCATCACGTCTTGAGCCTCCACTTAAGTCTTGTTGTGCACCAGATGTATCCTCTGTTGACGATGCTGATGATTGACGTTCTAATAAGTCCGATGATTGACTGAAGATTACCTAATATGATGAAAAATACAAAAATGATTGTGAAAATTGTGACATTCAAGTTCATTATTATTAGTAAGGACAATTTTGTGTTTGATACTACAACTCTCAGAATTGGAACTGATAAATTTAATTAAATCAAAAAATTGAATAAGTAATTTGTGGAGTGATAAAATCACTTGTAAATTGAAATTCCTTACATAGCGATTGTGATTGAAAATAAAATAAAAAATTGCAATTAAACACAGATGCTGATGAGCAATTGAAAATTACCTTCGAACATATTGAACTCAAAATTTCATCCTTCGTTATAAAATGTACGCAAGGAAATTAAAATGTTCATTATATGGGGAAATTATAGATTAATTATATGCAGGTATGTAGAATAAATAAAATTTTAAATTAGGGGGGAATAAATAAATTTGAGTCTTTGATCTCTAATAATTAAAATTGTTACTGAGAATTTTACACTTACCGATGGACTCTTTGGCAAACCCACGCGTTGGCCACATGCTGTCAACAAATTTACCAGACATTCACGCACACGACTTTGAGACATCCATGGTCTTTTCCATCCGCTTAATGGTGCTGTATCTGCAGGAGATAAGCTCGTGCTTCTTCGTGGTGAACTTGTTCCTCCAATATTCGAACTTGAAGGCTGTGAAATTTTCGCTTGTGTGCTCACATTCGTTTCAAGATCAGGCTTTAATAATAATCTTCGTCCAATTAAAGGTGTCTGGGAGACATCGTATGAAAAGTCCATTGTTCGTCCTGCCAGTTCCTTTTTGCAGAATACTTCCGAGTCACTATAGCTGCCATGAAGATTTTGGAAGAAGTTTGTTGAACGGTCAACAGACGATGATGCTTGTGGCAAAACGAGTGTAGAACTTCTTGTTACAATTAATTTTAAAATCTTCAGTGCTTCTCTCCAATTAGGGCTCTGTTGTTTTATTGGGAAAGAATGTTAAATGTCAACGATTGTAAATAAATCAGATAAGAAACAACAATCAAGTAGGGTTGTCAAGTACAAATCCAAAGCAATTGGGTATTTTTGGGTTTTTTTTTAATAATTTGTTGTAAGTGTATACTTGTCCTAATCCTCAAATGCTAACAATTCACAAAATTTGCTAAACTTAGCTATTTTACTATCCAAAACCCAAAAGAATAAAACTGGCCATTTATCACTAGTTATTTAAAGATTTGAGTACATTTTTGGTGAATTTTCATGTTGTGTCACACAAATTTACACCAAACTTACACCAGACGCGTAGCAAGGGGGGGGGGGGGGGATTTGGGGGACAAATCCCCCAACGTAAACAGAATTTTTTTTAAATTTCCACGAGTCTATATAATTTAATCCCTTATATTTTCTTAAAAATGAACATTTTTTGACCATTTTATACTGGATTTATTATATTTTATAAAATCTTGAATTTGTACAAGTACTTGAGTTATTAAAATTTGGGTATTTTGGATTTGTACAATTCCTGACAGTCCTGAAATCAACTTACATCCAAATGTTTTGCGACAACTCTCAATAAATCGCTGCTTATTATTTGTGCTTGCGGTGTTGACAATTCGACGTAATGAAGTAAACAATGGATGACACTCAGTACCTGAAGTTGAACTTGCTGTGTCTTCTCGAGAACTTCTATGAGGAAGGCAAGCATATTTATGCCAAGATGAGCGTAGGTGTCATGCAAATATTTTATGACGCATTTTGTCCACTGGAAGCTTTCCTTACTGAAAGTTTTACGGCTATATAAAGTCATAACTGTACCGAGGTTTTCCAATTTTGATCCCATTTCAGTTGCAACTTGTGCAATATTTTCAGCACTTTGTATGCAAATCTCATTTCCACTGTCATAATTTAACAGCATGTAAGGTAATAATGCGATCACATTCATTGCAAATGCACTGCTTTGTGTGGGATCACAAACGGGTAAATTTAAAATTGGAATTAATTGGGACAAAAGAGCAGCAGATGGCTCATAAGTAACACTATGCGTGCAACCTTTCAATAAAAGTGCATGAACTCCCGGATAATTGTTCCATTTCAATTGGTTCTGCAATCTTTCCACCTTATCGCGTGCGTCTGGTCTATCCAACGGTAATCGATGCAATACACGCGAGAGTAATCGAAGTGCCAATAAAAATTCATGTTCATAATCGCTCTCAAGGAGCGATACACCAAGCCAAAATAATTGTGCTAATATAGTCATTTTATCATCCTGACTTGTTGTATCGGATCCAAACTTCAAGCTTTGTGCGGAACGTGAACGTGATAATGAATTTGGGAATTTCGAGTGTGTTCGTTCGAGTTCAATGTTTGTGGCTGTTCTGTTCCTTAATTCTTTATCAAGTAGGAGAGAGAAAATAATGTTAAAAAATCATTTATTAACTTCCTTCCTGTCAAAAAAAAAATCCATTCATCAAATAAACCTTATGAAGTAACGTTTACACACGCTAACATAGTAAAACCGTGTACGCATTTTCCTTTATAGCTATAAAATTACATAGCTCAGTTTAATTGCCATAAAAGAATCAAATAGAGTGAAAACACTTGAATTTACTAAGTAATTTAGCGCCAGACAAGACGACACAGTTTGGTCAAATAGCGTCTCTTTACTTTTAAGTATAATGAAATTAATTTTTCATATCAATAATCAGTTTATTTACAGACCTTTTACTTCCATTGGTAAATTTGCTGTTTTCTTTGCACAATATGTTACGGAATAGCTTGTGCTTCTTGCATGATTTCCAGCTGACATGACATTATTGGTTGTCAATGGAGATACTTGATTCCCATCACTTGCTCGCTTGTCTGAGAGAAAAATAGAATTTTATTTTATTTGAGTGAATCTCAAATTCAAAAGCATCATAAATTACGATTGAATACATGCACAAATAGGAAAGAAATCTAACAAGTTTAAACCATCATCGATATTTCATTTTGTGGAAATAGCACAAGTAGAAATTATTAAAATTGCTATAAAAAGGAACTCACTTGAAGTCAACAATGCAACCTCCTTATTGTTTAAATTGGGCGTACTTTTAAAAATATCTTTCATCACATCTAATGGACGGAAATCTGAATCTAAACTGTCAACGGCAGCTTCTAATGTCAAAAGTAATTCTGTGACATATCCTTGCATATCTTCGCCTTGTTCAGCGACTGTTTCCACTAATCTTGATAAGATGTCAGAGAGCATTCGAGAATTGATTGGTACATTAAGTGCTCGGAATATTTGGAGGCATCTACCAGCATAATGTCGTGATGAACAACTTAATCCTAATTGCAGAGCAGTTTGTGCCCATCTCTCTGATATACTTGATTGTGGATGTGATTCAGAGAAAATTTTTGCAATGTGTCGTGTAAAACATGTTAACTGCTCGGCAGACTTACATGCCCATACCTTTGCTGTTATGTCTTCATAATTCCATAAAGGCTGTGTAAGATTTTCTTGCGTTAAAAACATTACTAAGCTTTTAATAACATGAGATATATCCATTAATGGACCAGTCTGTGGAATGGGATTTTCTTCTGTTACGATTGTCGGTATTTCGATATTCTCAACATTTTCTGCATTCTCATTCTCAGCATTTGTTTCGTCATTTACTCTCAAGTTAGATTGACTTTGTCCTAATAAATCTGGAAGAACTGCTGGACCTAGCATGTAGCTATCAAATTCCTGGTCAAATTCTGTAAAATTATTCGACAATATAGATGTGTTTGTGCATGCCAGGCCTAATCCCATTATTTTCGTTTGACTATTCAGCATAACTTTTGCCAATCCCAAATGATCATTGTGTTTTGATTGTACAAAAAGAAGGTTCAACAGCAACTGCTTGCAATGATCTCTAACCGTATTTCTTGTATGATCTAATCCCAAAAACAATATGTGTAGCATAAGAGGCAAATGTAGTGTCCAATCGATTCCATTAATTCCATCTATAACAATTTCCGTGAGAAGCATAACGGCAACATTACATCGATGAAATCCACTTATCGGTAAGTTTGTATCCGGCAATATTTTATTCAATGGAGCAAAATATCCACCATATTCAGGCATTGGAAGTGGATGTGGATGAACATAGTGTTGATGTTCACCTTTCGTTTGAAGATTATTTTCCATTGACTGGATCTCATTTTCATTTTGAATTATTATATCTTCATGTCTTGGCGGTAAAACGGATGGACCTGATGCTGTTCTAATCTTATCGCTTCCTCTAGGCGGTCGATAAACGTTACTGTTCATGAGAGCTCGTAAAGCACTGTCAGATTTGCATGTTCTATTTGAGGAAAAAAAAAGCAACATAAATTTCACGATGGAAGCAGCAAAAAAAAGATAAAAAGTTTGCAAAGTCACGAAAAATAAACACAAATAAATTGACTTTTTCTAGCATGATTTCGTCTATTATTTCAGCATTTTCTCTGAATTAACTAGTGTATCGGGTAGAAACCCAATGCGGATGTATTCACACCGTACCATCAAAAGTATTATGGATAGACCAAGATTTGCTCAGCATAAGTTTGAAGGGTGGGCGTGAAGTACGGCCGAGACCCATATCGACACAGTTCAAAAGTTATACCTAATTTATGTCATAATTATGTCAGCTACAAAAACACTTAGTTTGAATTTTGTCACCCTCGGGAACACTATGAACCAGTATAGCTGATTTTGGTCCAAATCTCGGCCATACTTCACACTTATTTGAACCACATTTTCTCGTAAATGTTAAAATATTATTAAAAAGTAATTAATCCTGAATTATGTCGCTATTTTGTCAAGTGTTTTAAGATAAAGAATTTGTTTTTTGGTTTCCACAGTGAAGAGTATGAACAAAATTCAGATGGAGTAGTCGAAATTTTAGATTTCGATTTTTTTTAAGCTATGCATTACATAGCTGTGGTATGTGATTTATGTCAGAATTATGTCAATTCAAATAAAACATCCAAAAAAATTTTTTGACAAAAGTACACCATAGAAAATCAATTTTCAATTTTGGAATAGGGGCGACCCTAGTCAAAATCAATTTTGTCACTTTTTTCTTTGAGGGTTTATCCAAATGGATTTAAACTTTGCATAAATATTAAAGTGCTTAAAACAAATACAAATAAAACATCTTAAAATTTTTTTGAGCAAAGAACCAAGAAGGAAATATATTTTCAATTTTGGACTATTGGCGACCCTAGTCAAAATCGATTTTGTCACTTTTTTCTTCGAGGATTTATCCAAATGGATTTAAACTTTGCATAAATATTCTAATGCTTAAAACAAGTACAAATAAAACATCCTAAAATTTTTTTGAGCAAAGAACCAAGAAAAAAATACATTTTCAATTTTGGACTAGGGGCGACCCTAGTCAAAATCAATTTTCTCACTTTTTTCTTCGAGGGTTTATCCAAATGGATTGAAACTTTGCATAAATATTCTAGTGCTTAAAAAAATACAAATAAAACATCCTAAAATTTTTTTGAGCAAAGAACCAAGAAGGAAATATATTTTCAATTTTGGACTATTGGCGACCCTAGTCAAAATCGATTTTGTCACTTTTTTCTTCGAGGGTTTATCCAAATGGATTGAAACTTTGCATAAATATTCTAATGCTTAAAACAAGTACAAATAAAACATCCTAAAATTTTTTTGAGCAAAGAACCAAGAAAAAAATACATTTTCAATTTTGGACTAGGGGCGACCCTAGTCAAAATCAATTTTCTCACTTTTTTCTTCGAGGGTTTATCCAAATGGATTGAAACTTTGCATAAATATTCTAGTGCTTAAAACAAATACAAATAAAACATCTTAAAATTTTTTTGAGCAAAGAACCAAGAAAAAAATACATTTTCAATTTTGGACTAGGGTCGACCCTAGTCAAAACCAATTTTGTCACTTTTTTCTTTGAGGGTTTATCCAAATGGATTTAAACTTTGCATAAATATTAAAGTGCTTAAAACAAATACAAATAAAACATCTTAAAATTTTTTTGATCAAAGAACCAAGTAGGAAATACATTTTCAATTTTGGACTAGGTCAAAATCAATTTTCTCACTTTTTTCTTCGAGGGTTTATCCAAATGGATTGAAACTTTGCATAAATATTCTAGTGCTTAAAACAAATACAAAAAAAACATCCTAAAATTTTTTTGAGCAAAGAACCAAGTAGGAAATACATTTTTAATTTTGGACTAGGGGCGACCCTAGTCAAAATCAATTTTGTCACTTTTTTCTTCGAGGGTTTATCCAAATGGATTGAAACTTTGCATAAATATTCTAATGCTTATAAAAAATACAAATAAAACATCCTAAAATTTTTTTGAGCAAAGAACCAAGAAGGAAATATATTTTCAATTTTGGACTATCGGCGACCCTAGTCAAAATCGATTTTGTCACTTTTTTCTTCGAGGGTTTATCCAAATGGATTGAAACTTTGCATAAATATTCTAGTGCTTAAAACAAATACAAATAAAACATCCTAAAATTTTTTTGAGCAAAGAACCAAGAAGGAAATACATTTTCAATTTTGGACTAGGGGCGACCCTAGTCAAAATCGATTTTGTCACTTTTTTCTTCGAGGGTTTATCCAAATGGATTTAAACTTTGCATAAATATTCTAATGCTTAAAACAAATACAAATAAAACATCTTAAAATTTTTTTGAGCAAAGAACCAAGTAGGAAATACATTTTCAATTTTGGACTAGGGGCGACCCTAGTCAAAATCAATTTTGTCACTTTTTTCTTCGAGGGTTTATCCAAATGGATTGAAACTTTGCATAAATATTCTAGTGCTTAAAACAAATACAAATAAAACATCCTAAAATTTTTTTGAGCAAAGAACCAAGAAGGAAATACATTTTCAATTTTGGACTAGAGGCGACCCTAGTCAAAATCAATTTTGTCGCTTATTTCTTGGAGGGTTTATCCAAATGGATTAAAACTTTGCATAAATATTCTAATGCTTAAAACAAGTACAAATAAAACATCCTAAAATTTTTTTGAGCAAAGAACCAAGTAGGAAATACATTTTCAATTTTGGACTAGGGGCGACCCTAGTCAAAATCAATTTTGTCACTTTTTTCTTCGAGGGTTTATCCAAATGGATTGAAACTTTGCATAAATATTCTAGTGCTTAAAACAAATACAAATAAAACATCTTAAAATTTTTTTGAGCAAAGAACCAAGAAGGAAACACATTTTCAATTTTGGACTAGAGGCGACCCTAGTCAAAATCAATTTTGTCGCTTTTTTCTTGGAGGGTTTATCCAAATGGATTGAAACTTTGCATAAATATTCTAGTGCTTAAAACAAATACAAATAAAACATCTTAAAATTTTTTTGAGCAAAGAACCAAGTAGCAAATACATTTTCAATTTTGGACTAGGGGCGACCCTAGTCAAAATCAATTTTGTCACTTTTTTCTTCGAGGGTTTATCCAAATGGATTGAAACTTTGCATAAATATTCTAGTGCTTAAAACAAATACAAATAAAACATCCTAAAATTTTTTTGAGCAAAGAACCAAGAAAAAAATACATTTTCAATTTTGGACTAGGGGCGACCCTAGTCAAAATCAATTTTGTTACTTTTTTCTTCGAGGGTTTATCCAAATGGATTGAAACTTTGCATAAATATTCTAATGCTTAAAACAAATACAAATAAAACATCCAAAAATTTTTTTGAGCAAAGAACCAAGGAGGAAATACATTTTCAATTTTGGACTAGGGGCGACCCTAGTCAAAATCAATTTTGTCACTTTTTTCTTCGAGGGTTTATTCAAATGGATTGAAACTTTGCATAAATGTTCTAGTGCTTAAAACAAATACAAATAAAACATCCTAAAATTTTTTTGAGCAAAGAAGTAGGAAGGAAATACATTTTCGATTTTAAACTTGGGACAGGTCTAGTCAAAATCTAGTTTTTCACTTTTTTCTTCGAGGGTTTATTCAAATGGATTGAAACTTTGCATAAATATTCTAGTGCTTAAAACAAATACAAATAAAACATCCTAAAATTTTTGTGACCAAAGAACCAAGAAGGAAATACATTTTCAATTATGAACTTGGGACTGGTTTAGTCAAAATCTAGTTTTTCACTTTTTTTCTTCGAAGGTTTATCCAATTACAGTGAAGCTTTGTGTGACTAATATTTATACAAAACAGTTTTAAATATCTAAAGCAAGAAATGTATTCTATATGTCGTCAGACCCAAATTTTATAAATTTGGTTGTACATTCAAAAACAACGTGACTTAAAATTTTGTCCAAAAAAACGATTTTTATCTCGAAGAAAAAAGTGACAAAATTGGTTTTGACTAGGGTCGCCCCTAGTCCAAAATTGAAAATGTATTTCCTTCTTGGTTCTTTGCTCAAAAAAATTTTAGGATGTTTTATTTGTATTTTTTTTAAGCACTAGAATATTTATGCAAAGTTTCAATCCATTTGGATAAACCCTCGAAGAAAAAAGTGACAAAATTGATTTTGACTAGGGTCGCCCCTAAAAACAATACAGCTCTTCTATAGAGCAGCACGGATCAAATGTAAAAAACTTGAAGTCTCTACAATGTCTCGTTATTGAGATTTCTTGCTGATTAATTTGCTTGTTTGCTTGCTTACAGAAAGCATATTTTGCGATTTTCTCAGCAATGCCGCAACCAATTTGAAATCTGTTTTTCGCAAAAGATGTGAAATTCAAGGCACAAACTTTTCATCTCCATATCCTCACAAAATTCAAAAAACTGATTTTTCAATCTGAACAAAACCAATAGATTCACACGTGAAAACGGTGTGAATATAAAAATTTGTCAAGGGTTCATTCATAAGTTATTCCCAATTTTTAGCTTGTTGATGGTTGGGGTTACGGACGACGTCTGAAACACTTTCAAATAGAGGAGCGAAGAGCTTTTAAATCCCAATTTTTTAAAAGAGCTCATTTATGAACAATCCCTAAATCATACATTTTTTTTGCCAATTATACTCAAGTTCCCAGATGTTTCAAAATAAGAATTCTTTAAGAAATTTGCTTCATTGCATTGCACATAGAAAGAAAATGTTTTTCCTATAAAGTAATTTTCTTTCATTTTATTGATAAAAAAGTCTCGTTTGTGCTTTTTGTATTTATTTCAGGAACGAAGTGTTGATGTTTTCCCCTCCATTCATCTTTAATATTTAACCTTTTTCATCAAGTTTTTTCTTCTTTTTTATTTTCTAATTAACAAAAATGATTAATAATAATTTAAAAACTTACCCTTTATCATCATCATTTTTCGCATGTCGTTTCGTGTGGATGGTTCCTTTCTCAACAGCTACCTCTTGTACCTTTGGATCGTTATTAGCAGCACCGTCTGAATGACTAGAAGTCTTTCTCATGCTCGTCAAACGATAAAATGGTGGATGTTCAGTTCTCTCGATAAGACAATTTAATGTCTCAACTGTTTGAAGTTCAATCATCAATTCATCCAAAAATCTCTCTTGTGCTGAACGTGCTAGATATAAAGCTACTCTCTTTGTATAGCATAAAAGCTCATTTGGTGCTAGTCCTGATATTATTACTAAATATCTGAGTATGACTTTCAAATTATTCGGCCAGCATTGCGATAAAATTCCCCACAATTCCTCAATTTCACGGCCATGTGAATCTGAGAACTAAATTTATTTTCGTGATTAAATAAATACAAAAATGATTTTTGAGTATGTACATGAAAGGTTGTATTTGAGGGAAGTTTTGACATCGTCCAACAGAAATATATTGCTACTTTCTAAATTTTGCAAGTCATAAACGTATTAAGGATATTCGTTAACATCCAACAAAATCCCTTAATACAACTCTGACGTACACAAAGTGTATATGGATATGAAAATCAAAAGAAAAAGTCAAACAAACCTTCGCCGTAATGTAAAACAAATTGTTCAAAATCATTTCTGTAGCCTCAGTCGATCCAGCACCATCTCGTCGACCTTTCAATCCTGAGTCAGGATAATACATAATATATGACAAAGGTGATACAGTCGGTGGTACATTTGAGGCGAGCAGCTCCATATTCTCAAGCCACGGAAGCAGGCATTGTAGGAGTAAAAAGCGGACGTCAGTTCGTGCAGTTTGAAAACGGCAAGTAATCTCTATTCATTGAAATGTAAAAAGAAAAAGAAAATGCGATGAAATAAAAAAATTATGAAGGAAATGAACACATGAAATCGGGGATGTAAAAGTGTCAATAAGAAATAAATGAAAAAAGGAAAAATGTCTTTAAAAAATTCAATTAATGTGGCGCATTTACTTCATCATTATGTCAATTGTTTAAAGCTCACGTCTATAAATAAAGTCTCTTTCTTTCTCTTTTAGAATGAAAGAATCATTTCTCTAGCATGAACTCGTTCCTAACATCCTTCAACTGTTTTTACAAATTAAACTTCACAGTTGACTGTTGCGACTCAATTTACTTCTTCAAGCCACAAATGAACGAAGACAGTCAGGCATTTAAAAATTACTTTTTAAGCAGCTTAACTGTGCAAAGTGTTTTGTTCAGATATAAAAATGATTTATGATTATAAAATGTTTTTTATGATGTACTGTACATACCTGAAAACATCGGCATTGTCATCTCAGGCCTTAATCGCGACATTTGACGCGAGAGATACATTTGCGAACGACAATACAATTTATCCAAAGCTCCATCTAAGGTGCAATTTTTATCGTCTGGAAAGAAAATGAAAATGAAGAGGAATTATTACAATTAAATATCACTCAATAGCGATGAATTGTTATGAATGACGTGCATTAAGCAACTAGCTATTTTATTAGATGATTAATTTTAATTCAGTGTCATCCTTAGTACTGTGTGATATGTGCTTTGGAAAACCCTAGAAATTAGCCCCTGATTTTCGTAGTGCAATGAGATCCCCTAAAATTCAATGAATTTTTTACATCCTTAGATAATCATACCAACGACTTTCATCAAACAAAAAGATATTATTCTTTATATTCCTTTAAAGTTTTAAACCAGTTGTTCTTAAACCATACACGATTCAACATACCAAAAACCAACACTTTAAAGATATGGTAGCATAAAAGAGTCCCAGAAAGCCCAATTTTGAGAGAAACAATGGATAAAGATAAGATAAGAACATCACATTTGAACATTCCTATACAAAAACTTCCTACTCTCTAATTCACTTCCTTTCAAGTGAAAAAGAGAGCAAGCATGCGAAATGAGAGAAAAATAATATTTTCTTCTTTTCTTTTCCCTCAATTTTCATTGCGAGCATTTCCCTGCGATCGCTTTCACTCATTCAGTTATTTCAATGCTGTCGGAATACTCGGTCGTGAATTTACATAGTCGACATTTTCTAATATGATCTTTAATACTGACTGGATTATTTCAATGTCTTTAAAGTGAATCAATCGGATGCAAATTTTTGTGTATTTCCATTGAAAAGACAAATGAAATGAAAATGATTGAAAAATAAAAATAAATAAAATAAGGAAGTAAAACAAAAGTGCACAAAAGCTATCAAAATTAAATATTGTGATTGCTTGGAAATAAAAATAGGAATAACATCATGCCAGGCTCTGTCGAAAATGTGACTGAAAGTGAGATGACAGAAATGAATTATCAGTATTACACAGATGATTATTCAAACACATCAAGTCAGAATCATACAAATGCCACACATGATAAATCTGAACATGATTTGGGAATTGAGATTGCATATTTAATAGGAGATTTTTTAACGCACTATTACACACCCGCTTTGGTGTTGATAGGAACAACTGGAAATATTTTATCTGTAATTGTCTTCTTTAAAACTAAGCTAAGAAAGCTCTCGTCGAGTTATTATTTAGCTGCTTTGGGAATAAGTGATTCGTGCTTTTTACTTGGTGCATTTGTGTCGTGGTTAAATTATTACAATATAAATATTTATAATCGGGACTATTATTGTCAATTCTTCACATATGTCAGTGGATTATGTAGTTTTTTATCTGTTTGGTTTGTGGTAGCATTCACAGTTGAGAGATTTATAGCTGTACTTTATCCTTTAAAACGACAAACAATATGTACTGTTAAAAGAGCTTGTACAGTTTTATTTGTGCTATGCGTCTTGGGATGTTTGATTAACATACCCTGTCTTCTATATGCAGCCCCACAATACTCAATTTATTTAAACGAGTATGTTTGTGATGTCAAGGAAGATTATAAGGTATCAGCAAGAAATAAATTATGAATTATGAGTGCTTTTGAGCGAATTTAAATTGTTTAATTCAGTGGTTCTTAAACTGTGCGTCACGGTACACTCGAGAGGCTTGAAGTTATTTAGATAGCTTATTTCGCAAAGCTTAAAGACTTTTTTTTTAATGAAAACTAGTCCTTATGTAAAATTCGTGTCGACTTCAAGCCCTAGTGCTAAGTGTTTAAGTTTAAATCTTATTTCATTCAAACTGTCAAATTCTAAGGATACAATTTTTTTTGACTTAATTCTCAATAAGACCTCAAAAAGTGCCATGACTTGAAACAGTTTGAGAAACAATAGTTAAAATAAAACATAAAACAAATAAACCCGAAATAAAGCAATCAGGACATCTCTAACGATGAACAAACATTTATTGCTATAATTTCAGTATCAAATGCAAATATTTAATTACATAGATACAGCAATTGTTTTCGTATTGCCATTTACAACAATTGTGATTTTAAACACCTTTACAGCAGCAGCTGTATGGAAAGTTGCCGGTGTAAGGAGAACTATGACTTTACAAAAAAGGTAATTAATTACCAAGCAGCATAGAATTGAATTATCTGTGATTCTATAAAGCAATCCTCATAATCATCAAGTTTCAATCATTACCGTCTAAATTTTTGCTACAAACTAATTAAGTATGCTCACGCTTACAACCCCTTAAGCCACAATCAATAGATTACTTAAATTAATGTGCTTCCCTTTCATTCCCATTCTCATGTTTCTATATAATTAAATTAAATAGATATACGCGAATCTCGGGTTGATGCCAAAGGATGTAAAAATAACTTTCTCATGGGAAAATTTTATTTAAAGGAAAAATCATTTTTCTCTGCAGCAATAAGCTATGCAAATATATTTAAATCACACTGTGACTATGCGATACTGTATTAATCTTTAATGAAAGAAGCATTATATGAATAATAATTTTTAACAAGAAATACAGCTCAGAATTTGATTACTCTGGTAATGATGGAATTGTTTTAAATCCATAAAATCCATTTTTGAATAAAATTAATTCCTTCATCGTAAACAACTTCCGCATTAACCTAAATAAACATATTTTTATAAATGAAAAAAAAAATATCTCAAATATTCAAAAATGCCCGCTATAAACTTTGTGGAATGACAGTATTTCATCGGAAAAATATTTGGGGTATTTAAACAAATAGTCGGAACCCCAAATAATTGAAATCCCTATTCCAGCATCTTGTTATTTAGCAATAGTAATCGAGTCAAGTCCTGATCTGTTGTGACAAAAATATGTTTCAAAATTTAACATCTTGAAAATAATTAAAAGGCACTCAGCTGGTCTTTAAAGGTTATTTAGGGTCTTGCATATTGTTGCATTGACACTTCTACAACTTATGAAACATTCATAACGATCAACTCCTCTAAACGACTGCATATGAATTTTTAGTTGACATCCAAAGAAATCAAAGCTTTAAAGAACATTTATGTTTCAGAAATAATCCAAATCTTTGAATAATCAAAAGTAAATGTCCCTCAAATAAGATTAAAGATAAACAATGCAGGATACTCTTTCTGACTACTTTCCTGGCAGGATAAAAACCCTTCGATTTCTTGTCTTTCTTAAAGCTTTGTCAATATTATGAAATCCTCAGTATGATATATTTTATTCCAAAAGTTTATTTACTATTCCGTATTGTAAGATGCTTGCCAAAGAACAGTGCAAATAGTAAAAATGGAAGGATTTACCTTTTGTTTAAGTATTCTTCACTTTTTGAAGATCAACAAATTGTTTTTCTATGTCAAATATCTTTAAGTATCTCAAAAGAAAACCTTTTAATGATTTTGACATTTTGCTGTATAGGACATTGTATTTAAAGTATTATTTCCCTGAAAGACTATCCTTGAATTTCAAATTAATAAATTTATGTCTTCTAAGAGGACCCACAGAATATTAAATAAAAGTACTTCTAATTGAAAAGATGACAATAAATAATTTCAATACTATGTACATCAATTCGTCACGCACTGCTAAGCAACAACTTTTATCTCATTTTTTAACAAAACATTTTAGACTACCATTGAAAGGGTCAGTTACGTCAATCATTCAAAGTTGCTACAGAGAAAAGAACCAGATGTGAAATACAAAGCATTCTGTAGACGTCATTTATAGACAATCCATAATCATTTTATTCAATAATAACAAAAGCATGTAAAAAACTTTTCAGATGACAGTCACAAAATTTTATTGGAAACAGAAATACAGGCTCTGAAGCTTTAAACAGATCGAAAATAATTTCATTTGTTCCCGAACAGTCCGAAATATAGAAACCTTTAATTATTAAGGAATGAAAAAAAAACCCATGTTATGATTCTTTAAATTAATTTAAGCAGCTATTATCTGAACAGCTAGTTGACAAGCTTCATGGAGATTCGTAGACGCCAAAATGTTCCTTAACTTTTTTTTTGAATGATTAAATGTGAAAAGTTTTTAAAAATATAAAAGCATAAATTAAATTTCTGCTGAGTCAACATAAATACTATAGAACTAAATGTTTCGAAACTTATTCAAAGAAAGTTCTGAATTAAAATTGTTGAGAATAATTCACAATTACATGATTTTTTAAGACAGTTTAGCAAATTAAAACTACGAAACTTTTTAAAGTTGCTTCCATGCATTAATTTTAATAATTATGTGCAGGGCTCGTGAGGAGTAAAAAACATTTTGATTTTCTGAAATCTGTTATCTGTGTGATTGAAAAAAATCATGATTTTTCAAATCCTACGTAAATCTTCACATAGGATTTCATTACGTAGACAAAATCTCAACGTAATGATTTTCATTACGAATTCAAAATCTTTCCTTTAGGATTTAATCTACGTGAATTTGTAATTGTTTACATTTTTTGGAAAGTGATTGTTTTTATGTAACTTGAAACTTTCATTTCAAATGATCCAGAAACAGATGAGCAAGCCCATTTAAATTCCAATCTTACAGAATTCGACATGTATTTGGATGAAGATCAACTTCCAACTGGATCTGAAAGAAGTGACGAAGCAGCTGTGTTAGAAAAAATTATGAAATGCTGCATACAGCCTAGAGTTTCGGCATCTGTTGATGATTTTGACATATTTAAGTTCTTGAAGTTTAAATTTACGTATGACATGCTCATGTTGGACACTTGTTGGGCTGTTGCAGCTCCTCCTAGCAATCAGTCTTGAGTAGAGTGATCGTTTAGCGCATTGAGAAGTCTTTTGAGTGACTTACGATCCAATCTATTGCCAAAGTCCGTAGAAGACATTATGTTGTGTCACTTAAATTCCTCATTATTCCTATTCCGAGCTCATAAGTCAATCTTTGTAGTATATCAACATATTTGATGTCCTTAAGGCATTAAATTTGTCAAGTTTCAATAAAAACAATCACTTTCCAAAAAATGTAAATTATTACAAATTCCCGTAGATTAAATCCTAACGAAAAGATTTTGAATTCGTAATGAAAATCATTACGTTGAGATTTTGTCTACGTAATGAAATCCTATGTGAAGATTTACGTAGGATTTGAAAAATCATGATTTTTTTCAATCACACAAATAACAGATTTCAGAAAATCAAAATGTTTTTTACTCCTCACGAGCCCTGTTTATGTGAAACAAAGTTGCATGTGATTAAGAATTAGTTGAATGCTTTTTAGTTTTTTGTCAAGAGCGGCATAGCGAGCGCGACTCCAATCGAGTAAAAATTCGTATCTGTCCAATAACTTGACTATGAATGAATCAACGGTACCAAAAGGAACAATTCACAAAAGAGGGGTTGTTTGCGTTAATTTGGATTGCAAAAATTAAGTAGATTTTAAATAAGTCAAAATTATAAGATAAAAAAAAAATAAAAAAAAAATATTCATTAAAATCATCACACAGACTTTTACATTAAAATATTATGCTAGCATTTTATTACAAAAAAATCTAGAAAGTTGTGCTAGCATGTTAGGAAAAAAAAAATTAAACAATCATAAATTACAAATTAAATTTACTTTTGCTCTTACTTTTTTGACTGTTCAAGAGTTAATGAATTTCGGAGTACTGTCAACAATCACTCGAATACCAATTCTCTATACAAGGAGCACAACTTTAACATTAATTTACATGGGAAGAGTAAGTAACAAGAAGAATGAAATTATTTTGATAATTAATTCCTACAAATTTTGCCAATTAAGAAAACTTAGCACTGAAAAAGACTGGAAATTCATCGCAAATAAAAGTGACCAAAATGCTTTTGAGTAAGTAAATCATTAATCTAAATTCCAATTAAAATAAAATTACAGACAACTAATTCAACTATTCAATTAGTGTTCCATGCCAGATTACTAATTAAAGACATTTTTGGTTCTGAATTGTCATCATCGATTAGAGATAAAAAAAAATTTAAATTAATTAACCATTCCAGTGGTTCTCAAACTGTGCGACATTGTAGACTCATGATACTTTTTAGCTCTTAAAGCTAAGAGAGAAAACATAAATATACAACGCTTGGACATCATTTATGAGCGACATCATTTACTGTGCCAAAAAAATTTAAAACAGTTTGAGAAGCACTGATGTAATCCTCCTTTTATATCACATACTAAAAAAATAAATTTCATCTCATCCACAGTTGTATCGTCTGTTTTTGTGTGCTTAAATCTTCCTAGTTACATAATGCGTATTAAAGCGTTTTTGATTGAAGTAAGGTCATCAACGTTCTGAATTGTTATTTATAGAAGATTAATTCTTATTAAACATTTCAGAATGATGGCAAATCTTCTCAAGCAACTGTCATTACGCAGTATATTTGCTGGTTCTTCTTCATTACCAACTTTGGAATTAATTTCATGATATATTGTTTAAGTGGACAAAACTTTAGGTAATTGAGAATAAATTTTTTTTATGGAAGAGATGAAAATGTCTTGTAGACCGGAGGACAGCTTTGAATTCTTTTGGGTCTATAAACTGTTAAACCTTTTGCAGTTTTTAAACGATTCTAATTCTTTCTCCTTCCCTTTTTCATTAAAGAAAAGCACTGATTTCAATGTTTAAATGTAAAGGATGTGCACAAACTACAAGACAGCATGATGGAACCCAAAATACAAGTAAAGGACTAAATCTTTTTTGTTGTAAATTGTTAAGAACCGAATAACTTTTGTGGGTAACATTTAGTTTCAGAGTATATAAAGACTTCAAATTCTACAGCATCAACAAAACGACGTATTATCACCCGAAAAGAGTTGCCTGGCAATGACAGTCAAGAACTTCATTACTTTAACACTAGCATGAAGAAATCACGGAAGATTTAGAAATCACATCCTTATTTAAACTTCACATTCTTTTCATTCTTTACATACATTTTTGTTAGGCACACGCACTTTTGTGATTAAATACATGATGTACATATAAAAGGATTTTTCTTTTCAATTCCTTTTATGCTTTTGTAAAAAAAACGAAAGAAATTTTTCTAAAAATATGTGATGTAAATGTACATGCTTTGGAATGTATTTGCTAATAAAACTGTGAAACGAAACGAAACGACTTTTTTGGCATTTTTCTTATTCTCTAAATATAATTAATTATTTTTTGTTGAATAGATGTCATCCAGAAAGGATCCATGAACAAGAACTCATATTGGTTAAATAAATTTGCGTAATAAATCCCATTAAATCAGATTAACGAAGCGCGAACAACGTTTCAGGAAAGATTTACACTTTTTGCTGTGGGGTCGTCTATAAATGGTGTCTTTTAAAAATTTAATTTCAGACATCACTCTTATCAACGTTTATATCACGGTTGAATGTTCCCTGATCCTTTGCATAAATCCAGAAAATGGATTTCACCCAAAGTTATACTGTCCATACCTCCCTAATAGCGCTTAACCCTGTCCAACCAAATCTTTCCATAATTCACAAACCAAGCCCAATTCATTTAATAATAAAAATTAATTACATACCTTTTTCCTTCTCGCCTTGAAGAACACTGGTTGTGCCAAAAAATCGTTTATCCAATATTTGTAGTAATTGCAGAGCAGTTGTTTGAACTTCGACTCTAGGACATCCACACATTACGAGGGTTACAGCAATAACAGATGTATAGTGATCACATGGATATTCTCTGTATTGACAAATAAATAAAATCATATAAAATTCATTTTATTACTGTCCAATATTTTAGATATTTTTTGTGAATAGTGATGAGCAACAAATGGAGAGAAATAATCGAGTCTCATATCCAAAACAACTTATTTTTGTGTACGAGTCTTTTTCATTTCCATTTCATTATTTTTTTTCAATCCTCAATCCCTCCCAAAATGATAGTGTGTCATTTTCAGAAGAACTTGAGATAAAGAACTGTCAGCATGTCCGTTATTATACAAAAGTAATATGATAATAAGAATGCATGCTTATTGTCAAAATCAATTATAGCTGGCAGGATCTTATTCAGAGAATTTTTTTTTCCAATTACTCGTCTGTCGATTTTGATTGCTAAAAGTCACAATTAAAGGTCAAAATATGATTTCAAGTTTTAAATATAGGATCGTCAACCAATAATGTGTGGCTTATTTAAATTCTATAAGTGAGGTTTGTTTAATCAATTTATGGACATTAAACAGATGCAATTTTATTATATTTGAACGGATATACCTCGTAGTAAACTCGAACTTTTCAGACATGATTTGAATAAATTCCTGTCGATGTGGTTAATTTCTTGCATAGAATGAAGCAACACAATTTGAGAATCACTGTTTTAAGTATGTAATATTTCAAAATTTCAACTTAAGAACTCTTTAATCAGATTTAATGGAGTATAAAATTGTGGGAAGTTAATACATTAAATCGCGTATTAAAAATAACGAAAAGTTTACCTTGACTCATTTACATTTAGCTGTTATTTTTGTATTATAATTAAGGACTTAAACTGTCAACTCGCAAAATAATTTCCGTCTTTTCAATCCCAATTTTCCGGTTAAAATTTATAATTACAACTTAATGGAATTAAAATCCATAATTATCCATATTATACAGAAAGGAATTCTTTTGCAAAGTCATGATAAACTTTTCCATTTATTTAATACTTTTAAAAGTTTCATCTCAATGATAAACAAATCGATAGATAAATTGGAAATGCGCTTGAATCGCTTCGGGTGTAAATAAACTTTAACTATTTCTTCATCAATAAATGCGGAAATTTTCTGTTTTTTTTTCTGACACTTTGGAATTGTTGATAACTTTTTTTTATCACAGCCTATTATCTCTAATTCTATCGAAAAAGCACAAAACATTTAGGGACAAAAAATAGGTTTCTTTAAATGAAAGCAATCATCAACAATTTTGAGCATAAAAACTATTGATTGATGAAATAAAAGGACATCAGGAAATGGATTAATTTTGTTCTTTTTAGCCTTTATCAAGTCAATTTGAATTTCTTATCGACACATGCGGATTGATTCCATCTGTAGATTGGAGCTCAAACAAAATGGCAAAAAAATGAGAGTAATGTGGGGCTGTTTATAAATGACGTCTCTAATAAATGAAATTAAATTGTCACCTCTCGTCTAAATGTTTTATATCATTTATGAAAAATTATATTAAGAGTCATCAAGATTGATATGTTTCGTTTGGGAAAATAATCTTTCATTTTCCATTCACTATCACATCATTTGCAAATGACTTCTCATTTCTCTTAATTTATTCTCATCATTAATTTAAACAAAGAACAAAAGAGAAATCTTATTAAAAGAATTAATGAGTTGACGTCACTTCTGAATGAAGTCAGTCTTAATAAAAGGTATTTAAAGTGGGGGAGGAATAATTATGATAATCAGTTTTAATTATCGATTTAAAAAAAACTTACTTGACATTGAAAATTGATGCGAGAGCAAAAAAGCAGGCATCAGCCTCTTTATATGTGGCTGTATAGCATCGATCAATCACCCACTCCAATAGCATGCCAGCATCTGGATTACATTCTAATAGCAAAACTACAGTATCTTTTCCAAGTTGATAAATCTATACGTTGTTGTTGGTACAAAATGGAAGAATAAGAAGAGCAAGAAAATTTATTAAGTATTACCGTTCACTTTCTTAGATCATTAATAATCGAGTTATTTTCTTTATGTAATATTTATTACCTTATCATCAGAGGACGTTAAAAGTAAATCAAGCCAAGAATAGATGTTGCCGTCCTCGCTCAAATTTTGAGTATCGAAACATCCGCCACAGCATAAAAGAGCCGACATTGCCTGTAATAAAAAAGATAACTCCATTAATATATTAATTTTTTTCGTAAATGTCGATCGAGGGGAGTCATTCAACAAACAGCATTTTCTGCAAAAACACATTCAGCAGAAACAGAGAAGATGCCAAAAACCAAAAGAAATTTGAATTGAAGTCACATGTGAATGAACCCCCTACATATATGTGATGTATTTTTCCAATATAACAACCTGTAGTGCACTAAATTGTAATTTTTCTTCATCAGGATTTGCCGATGTGATATTGCTCGATACGCCTAAAGGTTTTGCATATTGACCACACCATGAAGTAAATAGATTGAACAAGTTTCTCTTTAAATCTCTCGACAATAAAGTGTTGCACGTTTCCACTGATTCAATGTACAAAAATATGAATGTTATTATTATTTTATTGATGAATTCAACGACGATGTTATACTTACACGAGAAATTTTTGATCATTATTCTGATGAAATCACAAAAATGAATTTTTACTTCCCTCATATTACTGTTGTCTTTATCAATTTCTGCTTCCAAATACAGTCTCGCGCCCTCCATATAATCTGTGCATTATTTTAATTTAAAAACAATGAATGAATTTTAATAACATTATGCAATATGAATTTTAATCACTGTCATAATCGATAAGCATTAAACCTTACCAACAAATGTGGGATGTAAAGTTTCACGTTCTAGAACACACGAGCTTTCACCAAATGTTCCATTTTCGGCAATCAATTTCAAAACTTTGACAAGTTGTAGTCTCAATGCATCTCTGCGACGACGTCTTCTCATATTTTCCTGTTTCTTGTCAACTGCTTCCCTTATATAAGGCACAAGCTCCTCCATTAAATCTCTGTGTGGCACGTGCATAGAGATTGATTAATCAAGTTTATTGGACAAAATATAATAATAATAATAAAAACATACTTTAATGCATCAGGATTAATTAGCCCTAATGCATTGACAGCCGCATCTCTTATATCAGCTACTTCACACCTCAATAACGGGACAATTAATTTATATACCGCTGTTGTCAGTCCACTACTATTTTTATCATTTCTATCAGTATTCATTGAATCAGGAGATGAGCTGTATTATGAAAGAGACATAATTTGATAAACACATGAAAGCATAGATGAAATGGATGCAAAATAAAGCACACAGAGTTTTAATTTTAATTAATTAAATTCAATAAAACATTGCTAAATTAAAATTGAAATTTTCAATTCCTTTCATCTTTTTTTTTCTGCTGATAAGGAATTCATAAAGAATTTTAAAAACTTTTCAAATATTTTTTCATTAGCGAGCGATAATGTTAAAAATTCTACTGAACAAAAAGTCTCTCTTCTATTCCAAAACAAAACGAGAAGAAGAACTCGATGCTTAAAATTTTTATTAAATCTACAAAAAAAATATTATCCGAACTTCTATATTACCCATGACGTAGTTTTTTTCGTCCATGTGAAAGTGGAAGAGTAAATCGAACAATCCCCTCTGCTCCAAAAACTGACGAAGGAATATTATCCAATGAATCCGACAAGGATCTTGCGTCTTGTTCATGCAAACTTTTATTTTAAGTATACATAGACACATATTTTTTTTTGGATATATATTTTATGATTGTATGTTTAACAGATTATAATTGAATTGAAAAGAAGAAAATAAATTAGAATCAATTGAAAGAAAATTTTTGTTTGAATGATGTACAATTTGTGAGGGGTGATTGTGATGAAAGTTTATGTATTTTAATGTTGATGGAGTGGGCAATGATTCAACTGCTGTGAATCAATTTACCAACAAAAAGTGATTACTAGCTTTTGAGTGCATTATACGCGAAACAAGTTTTACAGATAATAGATCTAAGATCATACTAAAGTGGAGCTTTCACTTCATTATTTACTAATGATTATTATAAGAACATTAAGAATATCAATCATTTGTGACGAAGGAAATAATGGCAAAACAAAAAAAGCTAAAGATGATAAATGATAAGCAATGTTAAAATGATAACAGTGAGCAGCAAACAATTGAACATGACTTAATGTGTATGAATAATTACCTCAAGCTAAGGTCAGGTGATGCACATCTTATAGAACTGACGGGTGAAACAACTGATGGAATTAATCTCATTGCCATTTTTATCTGATTTTTCCATAAATTTACGAACGAGTCACGTTGACTTTCGGTCAATGGTTTTTTGGCTGGTGTGGAGCTTCTCAGTAGAGAAGCACGATTATCACTTACAGGTCTAGATGAATAAATAAATAAATAATTAAATCATTATCCATTTTAATCATCAAATCATAGAGAGATGCTTACGTTGGGTCAATAATAGTATACAAGCTTTGGATTCGCTGATAGCATAAAGGCCATGCTTGAGCGACAACAATTGGACATTGTTGCATGACATTATTCCTTTCCATAAACCCAAAGAGAACCATAGCCCATGGATCAAATTGACCATTCGTACTATTGTTATTATTATTTGAAGCTAATTGAGTTGAGCTTTGTGTAGTTGCTGACGTCTTTACAGAATCTTCGATATATCCTACACTCCAAATATTGCTATTTCTTTCAATAATCCATTGTAAATCAATAACATTTGCATTTAATATTGCTGTACGTTCACTTTGAGGTAACATTGGCATCAATGAATCCAGGAGCTTTATATTAAAAGGGATTGAGTAAGAAAATAACAGATTAGTTGTCTATATACATACAGGAAGTCTGTCAAGATATCCAAAACTTTCACAAGATATATTTAATTAAGTTAAGACAATTGACAGCGTTGGTGTAAAGGAAACAAAAAGGTTTGTTACGATAATCTCTTTTAAATGAGTTTCAGGAAGGTTTTGACAAAGAAGAACATACCTTAGGACAACATTTATCAATGACATCGATGAGAGGTGGTTCAGTTTCAGGCAACCCAAGTAATTTTTTGATTAATTTAACTTCCTTCAAAATATGAACTGCTAATCTTCGTGGAGGTGCTCTATAATTACACAAAGTAACGAGAGCTAATCCTTCAACAAGATTTAATGTTGTTGAAATTGGAACTTCTTGCTTCTTGTTGACATCAATTGGAACATTTGATGTAGCGCCAGTATTTAATGGATGTATTCCGCTATTAGAATTTACACTAGAATTCGTACTTGTCGTTCCTATCGAATGCTGTTGATTAGTTTGTGACGAAATATATCCAGAGTCTTTTGCAGAAATGACTGTTGCGATAGTTCCCATTGTTGTTGTAGTCGTATACGTCGACATGACATCATTTGAAGCTTGAGTTTGTAACGGAACTGGAGCTGACTTGACGATAACTGTTTGTGTAGTTGCTGGTAATTTCTCTAATGCAACTTTCCATGTATTTAATAATAAATGAAGCATTTTTAAGCCATTGTCAAGCAATTGATGGAATGTATCGTTAACGTCACGAGACAGAAATTGTGTGAAGCCTTGAATGACATGCTGCCTCCAGTCAGGGAAATCTTTGACGAGTGTTTGCAATGATTGATATGCTAATCCACTTAATTCCTCGTCCATATGAACTGTACAACGTGCTAATAAATCCACTAGTTCTGTTTGACTTATGTTATCGGGAATTAAACGAGGAATTGCCGCAATACAAGTTCTGAATAAATCAATCTTTGGTTTTCTTTCGCCTGTTAATAATTCTTCAGGTTCTTTATTCACATTTTGAGTATTTGTCATCATAAAAGGTCGTCCAAGTGATGCATCAAGTGCTCGCAAAATATCAACAAATACTCGTCGAACATGTGGGAAATAATTATGAATTCCGATACTTTTTGCCATATCCTCTGTCAACAACTTCGTCAAATATGTTTTCTTAACTCTCAAAGTGTTTCCAGAAGGCAAAATTGGAATTGTTCGAGGCATGGGAGGTTCTCCGTCCTTCTGTTGTAATGAATCTGCGACTACCAAAAATGCTCTTAATCCGATACTCATTCGTTCTGGTGTCATTATAATCTTTATTGGACGTCCAACCCACAACAACTCAAAGACTATTTCCCTCATTGAAAAATCGAGTCTTTCTTGAGCAATGAATTGAATAATTTTTACAAAAATATTCAATGGCATGTCTCTCGGTACAACTGCTTTGCTACCCCGAGGAAATAAAGAATTCACAATACTCTGTAGGCGAGAGTGAGTAGCCTGATTTGATTCACATTTAATTCGAATCATATAAACCTATTAAAGATGTAAAGAAAAAGTAATAATATGAAAAGCATATACACCTACACTAAAGGTTCTTTATATATTCATTTAATTATCACAGGCAGGCAAAGCTTTTCTAGCTATAGCACATTAGCACTGTATGATGAAATGTTAGTTGAGTTAATTTTTAATAATCATGATAGGAGAATACTTCGGATTTATCTCTTAAAACACCCTTGCAAATTAAAGAAAAAGGGGGGATTGGGGGGGGGGGGGATATTTATTTAAGGATTGTTTCAAAAAAATGTTGAGATTAAAAACTACAATTTAATATAAATCTTGGGATTAAAAATGCAGATTACATAAATCGTTGGATTAAAATAGGATGAAGAAAATCATAGAATTAAAAATCTGGCTAAACTGGAACAACTTTTAATCCAATAAATAAAAGGAAAGCATACATAAAAGTTGCAAATATAAATCGAAACTTACCCACAAAAGTCGATATAAAGATTCAAGAGCTAAAGGGATGAATAAATAAAAAGTTTTTTTGGTGAAAAACTTAATGAATCCAAGTTAAAAAGAGTTTTGGACTTACCAACACGACTCATTTTCTGATCACGATTCTTCAGATTACTCAAACACATCGCAAGGAAATAATGCCAATTATTGAGGAAAAAAGTTTTCTGTGATACACAGAGTAGACATGTAAGCAATGGAAACAGAGCTAATCGATGTTTATTTTTCGTGCAAGCATCAAGTGTGGGTGAGTATAGAAGATCAACAAAATTTTTGACGCACGGAACGTTGACTTCATTCTTCACAGCTGCTGCTACAGGTACTAATATTTCGACAAAAAGGCCAGCTAATGCATGCTTAATATCCTTATCTTTAACTTCTAAGAAATACTGAGCACATTCATGCATAAATTGAAATGAGGCTTCAAACTCTTCAATTGGAACCATTTTGACTCGAAAGAATTTCATTCCCATTAAAAGACTGATTATGCTTTGCGTCGTATGAGGTGATGGCTCTTTTGATCTTAATTCCTTCAATTCTGACATAAATCTCTTTTTGATAGATGCAAATCTACTTTGAGCCAAAGTGCCTACAACTTCTCCGTAAAGATCAGCAATAATGTGAATATTGTAAGCATTTGGACAGTTTTGTATTCCTTCTCGATATTTAAAATGACGAAAAGCGAGGTTTTCAATATTCTTTATTATGTCGTCATTTCCAGGATGAAATGGAAGTTGTTTTAATACTTCAAGTAGTACCAAACAAAAAATAAACTCAACTGCAGCTTCACGTCGCTGTAATTGAATTTCCAAGTCACTTGACGTTCCAATTAAATTCCAATCAATATCTGATTTCTTTAAATTCAATGTCTTAAATTCTGCATCTGATATCTGTCGTCGATGCCATGCTAAAAGGGCTCTCAATAATGATGGCAAACAATGTTCAGCAACTGAGCCCAAAGCGGACAATAGTTGATCAAATTGTGTATCTTCTCCTCGTTGCAATATTTTCGATATTTGCTTTTCAGAATTCTCCAGCATAACACCTTCAATCTTCTTTTCAGCTTGTAATGTAAAGTCAGCGAATAAAATTCGCATGACAATTTCACCAGGACGTAAATTTTCCGTTGATCCAAACATATTTTCGCTGCTTGAAAATCCAGATGCAGCAAGAGAGGATGAGCGATTTTGAGGACTCCAGGGTAGCAAGCTTGATCGTGTCGAAAGTGGTATTGTATTAAAAATTGGCGACTTGACAATGTCTATTTCCTGATTTGATATTTCATCATCATAATCCGTTTTTAATGATTTTCTTATAGGCGAATTTCCAGCACTACTGTTGTCTAACGAAACAATTGTAGCCTCAGATGTAGTTGTTAATGAGTCACTCTGTTGGTGACCAGAACCTAGAAGAAAATACAATAATAAAAGATGTAGAATGGAAAATTTATGCATATGTGTGTATACATAATGAAATCAATAAAATGCTGAACTTTTTGTTTTGTAAGCTTATTGATTTTTATAAGGAAATAACTCTCAGCCAATAATTTTTGCACTAACATGTCTGTGACAAAGAATAAGATGACGAATGTCCCAACTTGGACAAGATTCTTGACAATAAACTACTTCTAATGTAAACATTTTGATCAAACATAAAGTCTATTTTTAAATTATCGTCTCGTAAAGTGAAATCATTTTCCATTTGTTTCTATTACAATCGTTAATCCACAGCTTATTACCGCTGCCTTATTATAATATCATTTTTTTCTTAATTCTGATCTTTAAAGGCACACACAGTGTTTTTGTATAGAGCAAATAAATATCACAGTATCAATAGTTCTACTTAGTATCGTGTATCGAGTATCGTAAATTGTGTTTATTTATGAAATTATCATGAAGGAATTTATATCGCGAAATGATCGAAGTGCTATAGAGGAATTTCAAATGAAAACTAAAAAAAATTCACACAGAACTGAGAGGTGTTTTTCATTCGATTTTTCATACCTAAACTGTGTTTTTTGTGTATATAATATTGTTTTTGTTGTTGCACATGGGTCTTGAAATATGAAAATTGTGGACATGAAAATGTACAACTACAGTCGTATTATTGATATTCTTTTAATTTAGCTAAGTGATACTCTCTCCCTCTTTCTCTTTGTCTCTCAACCCTCTCTGAACTTTTATAAATGTCAAATGTACGTCATAGCTTAATAAAAATGACATTCTTAGTACATTCAACCTTGAACATGAAACAAAATGAATCGTTTGGCAAGATCACAATATTATCATCCCCAACGAATTACAATATAAAGCTGTTCCTGCATACAGTCATAGACGAAAAAGATTGTATCCAAAAAAAATCAATTTTTTTTCTGTCTGTTTAATGCCGGAATGTTTTAAAGTCGTTTTATATTGCACAAATTGATCGGCTGTTCATTCAATATGATGATTATGACGTTAGCCTGTCATTATCTAGCTTGTTTATATTTTTATTGTTGTTTATTGGCAAAATTTTCATTTTGTTCATTTACAAATTAATTATTTGACATTTTAAGTCTTTAAATCAACGATACTTACTAGGTGTTTTATCTGCCGCGGAACTAGCTAATGAGTTCTCTGTTTTATCCATGTTTTAATTATATTTTGAGTTGATTAACATGCTTAAAACTTTAATTTTTGAAAATGTTTGAAATTCCTTTATTTTTTCAATTATTTGTTGTCTTATTGTTTTTCTTATTAATACAAAATGCAAATAACCGTTAAACTCAAAAAACCTTAACTACTGGATGATTAATGTTAGCTATACTTCCTTGTTATTATAAATTACATGTGGTTTTTGGAAAACAACGATTAGTTTTGTTAATTAATGTATAAACGTAAAATTTTAAAAATTTTCGTCTGAAACAAAATTATCAGATTTTCAAAGTTTAAATTGCTGAACAATCATTGTTTTATTCAGCAGATTTTTTGCATAGATCAACTTTTTGTTTTCTTAAAATTGCAAGTTAATTAAGGAGTGTCACTCAATTTCAATGACTTCTTGCTTACTTTTAATGCTTATGTTACTCAATTTAATAGATGAAGATGCCCAAACATTCCGCAAAATACAAAAACCAAGCATTGAAGGTGAACATCATTAACAAAAACAATGCCACAGTTGCATCAAATCAAAACAATCGAAAAAAATTGTCAAAATATTTAATTAATCAAGTTTAAAATGAAAACAAAAGACTTTGAAGAGGAAGTAAGTGATTTTGAGGATGAGCTGAGAGGCAAGAATGTGACAAAGAAGAAGAAAAAGCTTAAAAGTTGCTTCTTTTGTGAAAAAGTCTTCGATGTAAATGTTGTTGAACAAAGTATTCGACCTAAATGGCGCTGTCAAGACTGTTTTGACGCTAATATCATCAAGAAAGTTAAGTATAAGGAAGTAAAATGCAACTTCTGTGGCATCAAATATGTGGATACTTATTATACAAAGAAAGGACTTTCAGAAACCAAAACAAAAAATAAAAAGTAAGATTTGACCCAATTTCTTTCATTTACTGTAATTAATTCGTGTTCTTAACTACTTTTAGATGTGAAGACTGCAGAAATAGAAAGATCCCGAAAGGTCCTTTACCAAGACCTAAAATGGATTTTGCAGAATGCGATATTTGTGGAATGAGATTTAGAAAGAAAATCTTAATTTATAATCATATGGATAAGCATCGTTCGGATGTATGTTGTAGAGTTTGTGGAGCAAAATTCACAGCAAGAAGTGCATTAAGAAGTCACTTAAGATCTCATTTCGAGAAGTTTGTTTGTGAGCTTTGTGGATTTACAACTAATTTAAATGCAATGTTCAGAAAACATAATAAGATGCATGAAGGCAAGCCTATTCCAGATCAGACTCGATATTATAAAAAGCAAGTGAAGGGAGAGTTTCCATGTTCAATATGTGGTATTTTGTTTGAGTCAAAAGTAGGCTTACTGGGTCATGAAAAGCGGCAACATTCAGAGAACGGAGTCAATGGATTTTCTTGCAAAGTTTGTGGTAAGTAAAAGCTACTTTTATCATATTATTTTATTTATCTATCATAAGGAAAAGCCATTTTAAATATATTTAAACTTTTTAAAATGGCATAAAAACCTTGGTCAAATTAACTTGAATTACACGCTTAAAATGTTTAAGATCAGTGATAGTTGAATATCGTTAAAGATCTTAAAACCAACAGACATTTTTGTTTTAAATTATTAGCGGTTGAAATAAATTTAAATTTAAAATATTTGACGGATTATATAATCGGTGTGTGTCTTAGCTAAGTTGAATTTTATTTTCAAAAATTACTGGCACGATAATATATTTGCAGAATGTTTCTTTTTTTTTTCATTTTAATTGCACTTAATTTGCTAATAATGTAGGATCAAGCTTCTAATCTTCATATCTAGGTTTCAAATAAACTAAGGCTCTCGTTTCGATCTTCTGTAGGCGTGACCCCTAACCCACAAAGAGCATGCTCAGAGCATGATAAATTGAGCTTGATCAGACTTTTTGAGCGTGCTCACCTAGAGCCACCTACGGTACCTATTTGAGCATGATAATTAAGACTCTTTCGTGAGCATGATCAAGATCGCGATCAGAAGAGCTTGATCGATGTAACATGTTGCATGTGACATGCTCACAAGATCGCGATCTTGATCATGCTCACGAAAGAGTCTTAATTATCATGCTCAAATAGGTACCGTAGGCTTCTCTAGGTGAGCATGATAATTAAGCTCAGAAAATTGTACTGAAGAGCGTGCTCATGAGAGCTTGATTTTGAGCGTGCTCTAAAGAGCACGATTTATTATTTAAAATATTAAAAAATATTGACATGTTCTCTTGAGCATGTTATTTTGAGTTAATTATTAGAGGTGCTCTTTATGAGTATAATTTTGAGTATGCTCTCAAGAGTTTGATTTTTTTTTACTTTTTTGAGATTTGCCGAGATTCGAACCTGGAGCGCTGAGTCGTAATATGCCGTTCACTTATCCTCTGATCTATTGCTGTCTGAAATGATATATTTTTAAAATGGCAAAAACGCGTACTGTTTTAGGGCCATATTTTTTTCATTTTTGGACATCTTGCCCTAATATTTTCAAGGGCAAGATATGTTTAGGTCCATAATTTTATGTTTTTTGGACATCTTGCCCAATTTTTTTAGGGCAAGATGAAGATATCAAGCTCAGAGTAGTATCTTGAACGTGCTCGGTAAGATTCTTTTAAGAGCATGAAAATAATTTTGTCACACGAAAAGTGGAGATTATCAGATCATGCTCAAGAGCAAGCTCAAAAAGTGTCTCACGTGAGAACCTTAAATTTTCAAGCTCAGAGTAGGATCTTGAACGTGCTCGGTAAGATTCTTTTAAGAGCATGAAATAATTTTGTCACACGAAAAGTGGAGATTCTCAGATCATGCTCAAGAGCAAGCTCAAAAAGTGTCTCACGTGAGAACCTTAAATTTTCAAGCTCAGAGCACGATCTTCAGCATGCTCACTAAGGTTCTCTTGGGAGCACATTAAATAATCATTCTCTCATCAAGCTCATTTTTTGTGAGGTTCTCTTATGTTGTTAGGGGACGTGATACTTTTCAGGTCCGTTCTAACAATATTCCATTCGTGGGTAATCTTGTAGCTCTCGTTCCTATTTCTCCCACTACACTTCAAGTTCCTGATCCGTTCCTTAATCCAACGTTGCCCAAATGCCTAATTATGGCTTGATCTCCTACATTAAGCAGTCGAAGTATCTAAACTTCCGAAAAAGAACAAATTTGGAAATGGCTGGATGCGAACCGACGACCTTCGAGTTACCATCCCAAATTTGTGCCAAGCGCCTTACCTATTCGACCAGCAAGGCACTTAACTGCTTGTGACTAATCCAACCCCATTTTTTATCCAATATCGTTGGCAATAGACTCTTTTCTGGTTACAGCATAAAGTCTCATGTTGGTTATGAGCTCCGAGAGGCAAAACGACTTTTTGTCTGTATTTCTATAGCTCATATAACATGACATATTGCATAAAACAAATCTAAGCAAAACTGAAGTTCAACTGATGCTCTTTTCCGCATATTGTATGTTATACTGTAATGCTGTCATATCATCATGTTGGACATTAAAATTTTTAAAAAATTATTTTCCCCAAAAATTTCCGGAAAGCCTATTTTACTATTTTGAACAATTTTTTTCATACATTTTTACTTTAAAAACGTGGTTAAAATTGCTATTTTTATTTTAAATTCCAGGCGAGATAAGCTATAGAATAAAGGAATATAGAATACATGTCCTGACACATTCCAGCAAGCCTTTGCTGTTTTGTCATTATCCTGGCTGTAATATATTCTATGATAGACTAAAACCGTTAAATGCACACATTAGAAATGTCCATAAACAGACAAATAACGATTATTCATGTTCGAATTGTGGTAAAGCTTTTAAATACAAACATTCTGTGGATAAACATTTAAGAAATAATCGTTGCGTACCGTTGAAGGATAGAAACTTTAAAAAAGATGTATTTTCGAAGAGAATGAAACCTTTTATTGAAGATAACAGCAAAAGTCCTGAGGAACTTGAGCGAATAGCTAAAATTGCAAAAGAACAATATTTGGAGGTAAGAGGACTGTTAAGTGTTATAGAAAATGAGCAGCACAGTGATAGCGAGCAAGACGACACGATTAAAGAAGAAGTAATAATTGAGGAACATGTAAATGCTGAAACAGGTTTGAAAAATGATAAGCATGACGATGTACTCGAATACGATAATTACGAGCAATTGGACGATTGTCTTGACTTGTCACCTGTCATTGAAAGCATAGAGGAAGACGATGATGATAATCATGATACAAAAATGATTAAAGAACCGTTCGTAAAGATTGAAATTAAAACTGAACCTGACATTGATGATATGCTGAGCCCTCCAATCATACAAGAAGATTGGAATTATTTAAAGAGTGATCCTGACATTTTTAACATGACTTCTGACTTACCAAATCCTTATGTACTATTAGAGAGACTTGATTATGCTACAATAATGAAATGGATTAAAGTAAAGAAAGAGGAAAAAGACATTAAGCCTGAAATGTCAAATAAGATGCTAATCATGCGAAAGAATAAGAAGAAAATGTTAAAAATGAGAATGCTTGCTTACAATCGTAGAATTAAAGGCTCTTCCTATGAATGTGACATGTGCGAATTTAAATCAAAGTCTAAAAATAAGCTAGCTAAACACTTAATCAATCATAAAAAAGTTTCAAAAACAAATAGGCACAGATGTGAAGTCTGTTCAGAATCATTTTCAAGAATTGTTCATTTACATCAGCATAAGAAAGTAATTCATAAAATATCAAATACTGATTATACAACAAAGGATTATATCTGTGACTTGTGTGGAAGAGCTTACGGAACCATTGGTATGCTTAAAAGTCATTTAAAACTCACGCACAGTACTACCTACTATCCATGTCAGTTCTGTCCGATGAAATTTAAAACTAGAGTTTATGTGGAAAGACATGAAAATGATGTTCATTTAAAAATTCGCAAATATGCCTGTCAATTCTGTGGTAAATGCTTTAAAAGAAAACATGGACTTAAAAGTCATGAAAATCGACATACATCACATCGAGAAATATGTCCCATTTGTGGCAAAAGTGTTAAGATTTTAAAGGAGCACATCAAATTTGCCCACGAAACGAAAAAGGAACAGGAATTAATTCCATGTCCACAATGCGGCAGAGGATTTTCTAAATATAACTTACAATTTCATATCGAACGATTTCATCTTAAAGTTATTAATGAGCGAACTCAAGTTCGTCATTGTCTGAAATGTGACCAAAGCTTCCCAAGAGTCGACGATTTAAGAAGGTAAGCGTTTTTGGGTTTCTATTAAAGAGTTTTGTCAATTTTTGATTTAAATATGGATCGATATCTTTGTCTGCCTTTGTGAGTTTTCCCGAACATACAATGAGCATACTCAGAGCACATTATTTGTGAGCTTGATAGCTTTTGTGAGAATGTGCTCATTTTCATACGTTTCAGAGATGCGCTTACGGTACCTGTTTGAGCATGCTCATTGAGTACATTCCTATGTGACATATATTAAGCTCATTGAGTAAACTCATGAGCATACTCAAATGAGAAGGTAACATGTCACATGCAATATTTTTCTCATGTAACATTTTTATTGAATATACTCATGAACATTCTCAAAAAGTACAAACTTATAAATATTCTAAAAGAGTACATACTTATAAACGTACTCAAAGAATATATACTTAGTGAGTATATTTATGAGTATATGCTCATCTGAACACACTCATGAGTGCACTCAAGTGAAGTTGCAAAATTCAAAAAATTAATTAAGCTAAATTTGAGTATTATAGGTTAGCTGAAATTAAGTACTGTTCCGTTTATTTCTGTGAATAATTTTAAAAGAGTTAGAAATTATTAATATTTTATCTCAAATACTTAGAATGAAACATATAAATCTGGTCACCCATCCTTGTTGAAATATCTTCAGCGTTGCTTAACATCTGTCGTCTCACACTTTTCCTTGGAGCTATCGTCTGTAAATATATAATAATTTATATATGGCATAACACATACTTAAACTATTATATTTTTACAGGCGAACTAAGTTCTTTGAAGTTTGGATCTTATTGAGCACCAATTTTTACGTTTTCGATTTAGCTGACATTTTTAAAAAACGTCAGCTTCCTTAAAAAATCATTATTTTAACGTTTTCGATTTAGTTGACATTTTTAAAAAAATTACACAATTTGCTCTTGAATAAACTCAGTAAGTGCACTCATATGAGAATATAAAAAAAATTGTGTGACACAGAAGTGAGTTTACTCATTATATGCTCATGAGTACATTCATTAAGTGCACTCATATGAGAATATAAAAAAAATTGTGTGACACAGAAGTGAGTTTACTCATTATATGCTCATGAGTACATTCAGTAAGTGCACTCATATGAGAATATAAAAAAAAAATTTGTGACACAGAAGTGAGTTTACTCATTATATGCTCATGAGTACATTCAGTAAGTGCACTCATATGAGAATATAAAAAAAATTGTGTGACACAGAAGTGAGTTAACTCATTATATGCTCATGAGTATATTCAGTAAGTGAACTTATATGAGTGAATTCACATAAGTATGTTCTTAATATTCTCATGAGTACACTCGTTGAATGTACCCACGTGAGCTTATATTTTTTTTGCAAAAAAATAAAGTAAGTACATTCGTAATGAACTCCTGAGCATGCTCAGTTGAATGAGCTTGCATGAGTATAATTTTTGAGTGAACTCACTTTTCTGAGCATGCTCTTTGTATGTTAAATTTAAAGATTCTATGCTAAGCATGTTCTTGATTCAATTGGGGATCATATGATAACTTTGTCGTTGATTAAAAAGCCTTACTAAAAGTTTATTGTATAACTTGAACAATTTTTCTTTTAGACACGACATTCTCGAGCATTACGAAGGAGTTATCAAAAAGTGCCCATACGATTTTTGTGATGCGATTTTTAAGAAAACAAAGCCACTCAACGTTCACATTAAGAATGTTCATTTGAGGAATTCGACCCACACTTGTGAAGTTTGTAAAAAAACATTTGATACGAGATCCGGATTGTTAAAACATGCAAAAGTTAAAGGACATAAAATTCCTGAGAAAACTTTGTAAATCAATAATACCCACATATAGAAAAATAAAGCTTTTATTTCTAAATTCAATCATGCTAGATGGTTCTTTATTGTCCTTAGGAGTCATAAGATTACAATTGTTGTTGTGTTAGATCTGTGTGGCACCTTATGCGACAAAGAGGAGGGGTTATTCATTGCTGACTGACCTGGAAATGGAATCGAACGATAACGAGAAAAGTTTTATGTTATTTTTTCAAATTAAATTGGATTTATTCGACATACTTCAATAATTTTTATTTAATTATTTATCATTTTGTTGAATAAATATATTTATGAAGTTTAATTCCATTAAAATAAGATATTTTAAGATTATTTGTTTTACAAAAAGGAAGATAAGGAAAAATTTGTTGGCTTTTCATTCATTTCATAATGAAAATGAAATTCATTCAATATGCTTTTCATTAAAAATTGATTGAGGAACATGTTCTTTAAAAAAAATATACATTTGCACATATCAGAAGATTCATTTTCTAAAACTTTTTTGTTTTTTTGTTTTTAATTACTTAAATTTTTATTGAACAAATTATCTTTTAATTTTTATAATTTTTGGTTTCACTTCAAAGTCTTCATAGTCACACGAACTAGATAATTATTATTTAATTTAAATAGTCTTATTTACATTCATTTTATATCGTTTCAATACTATGCAATAGCAAATATTTATTCAAAAAATTTGTTTTTATCAAAAATCAAGCAAATCACAAATTGGATTATTGAATTTAAATTTTTTTTTTCTTTTTTTTGGGAGTTTTCCTATCTAAAAGACAAGAAAAAATTATTTTAGGACCTCTACTTGATAGAGCTAATGCCCAAACTCTAAGATTAAATTATATTAAAGATTAATAACTTGTTATGGAAGAAATGGGTCTACACAAAATCATACTTCTACTGTCATCTCTAATAACAAAGTCATTTTGAACATAAAATCGTCACTAAATTTGTAATATAATCACAGTAAGAAAGAATAACAACAATTATAATAAAGACAGCTATTATAGCTCTCTGAGAAAGTACTAAATAATATAATAATGATTAAATAAAGTCACTAGGTCCTAATTTCACTGAAAAGCTCAAACCTCATTTCCAATCAGTCGATTAGATGAATTAGAACTACAGATTCAATTCTTAGATTTGGAGTTTGAATTCAAAGTTCAATCCTAAGATTCAATTTCAAAGTTTTGAATACTCTGATTTATATCTTAAAACTTTAGGATTTAAAGATTCAAACCAAAATCAAAAGATTAAATTTAAGAATTAAAATGTTAAATCAAAGAATTTTCAGAAGAGGTTTATCATTGAAGAATCAACCTCAAGCAAATCCGTTTGACTGTTGAAAAATGAGGAACAAAGTTCAGCGAAGTCGCTTCTAATTTCTACAAAGTTGATGATTCTATAACTTTTTTTTTCTCATTATAGATAAATTTGATTAATTTTGAAAAGGTACTTTTTCTTTAAACTCAATGTCTTCCTAAACATTGATAATTTAGTTATATCCATGGTATTAATGGTAGTAGCATTATGTAGGGATGAGTGTGCTAAGCATTTTACTCTCTATTGCTTTGTATGTATTATATACGTAAGTCTAGTTAAATTAATGCTGTTACTTTTGTTTCTTGTTTCCTTTTCGGGGGTAGAAAAGCTAAAGGCAGGAGTTATAATGTTATTTGGGTATTAAGAAGACAAAAAGAAAAAAAAAATGACGAATATGATGGAGGAAGGAGGAAGATTATCCTTAACATTAATAGAATATATTTTTGTTTAACGGTTGCTTTCAAAAGCCTTGCTACAATTTTGTGTTTGACTGCCGTCCGTACTCACAAATTCATGCAAGATGTCACATGCCATCTCAAAGTTGTTCCTTGAAATGCATAATGCAGCCATAACATTCTCTTTTGAATATCCTTCCTTCATCAATCGATTTATATACTCCAAATTTATATTTTCATATGACACATTACTGCTGCTACTACTATTGGAGTTATTATTCAGATTATTCAACGAGATTAAATTTCCAGCTGATTTCATCCTTATATTTTCATATAATTTCATATTTTGATTATAAATTTTTGATGGATTGTTGGCACATGATGATGCAGACTTCAATGGTGACAAGTTATTTGGCAATTTCTGACTAATTGACGCTTGAAATGTTGACGGTGATGAGGGAAGTGTTTTTATTGGCGTGCCTGTAACTGGCATCGACATGTGCCGCTGATGATTATTACTTCCATTCATATTGCTAAAATTCGTATTATTATTCATCTGGTTGCTTTTCAATAGATATGTATTCGAAACTTTATTATTATCATCCTTCATCCCCGCCTCCTTACTACTGCCTGTATCATTGATTGTTATGAGGTTGAAATTTGTGGTCAAATTATTTGTTAAGGATGCGAAACTAACGTAATTTGTTCGTTGCTCAATTGGTCGTGTATCTATTATTCCACTTATCGTTTCTGCAGGCCCACAAATTGGATTTGAGTCATCATCTGAATCCTCTGGTTCCTTTTGTTGTTTTTGTTGCTGTTTCGGTGCTAATAATGGTGTTGTGGTAGATGATGATGATGATAATGATAATGTTGATATATTAGGATTAATCTTTATATTATTTGAACTAGTCTCATGACTCTGACTATTCTCTGCCGTCTCAAGTGAGTTATTTTTGCTAATTGATGGTGTCGTTGACACTGCTGATGTTGTTTGTTGTAGCTTCATCGGTCGATTAATATCATTTGTTGTTGCCATTGTTTTATTAGTCCTTGGCGGAATTGGAGGAGCTTCCTCAAAGATATTAATCGTTTTGTTGCTACAATTACTACTACTTAATGATATTTGATCTAAACTTGTGCTTGGCATTTCAATTGAAGATGCTTTACTACTCGATGATGAAGACGGCGTATTTGTAACAACAATTGTCTTTGGAGACTTTCCATTCAAAATATTAACATTTACTAAGTTTACTGTTGTGGCTGATGAGGAGGAGGATGAGGACGATGAGCATAGCGATGACGAAGAAGAAATAGGCCGATTTGATGAACTTTCTCCTATATTACTACTATTATGTTGTTGCTGTTGATGTTGGTGCTGTAAGGATGATGTAAATGGAATTGGAGTTCTTCTAACCAGTTTCGGTGATGTATGTGGACTTTGAATCTTTTCTCCGCGTGTTAATGTAAAACTATTACTAAGCGCTTGAATTGATGATTCCTCTAAATTGAAGTCAGCTTCCTAAAATGACACATTTTATAAATTTTTTTTATGAATAATTTTCGTTAATCATGAAAAATTATCTTATATCAATGATAAGGAATGAGAGGATCGAAATAAAAATAAAAAAAAGAGGGTGAAGCATTTACTGCCAAGCTCATCATTATAAATTCTTCTTGCTATCTAAGTACTTAAACAAACAAATTGGATTAATCATAATTAATTCTATGCTAATTTCATCGAGTCCTCTTATTCATTCATCATATCTATAGTTATGGAACTATGTATAAAATAATAAATATATACTTTTAACGTACCATCAAGAAAGAGAATCTCTTTGAACATGCCACAACACAAAAGAAGTAGAAAAATCATAGTCAAAAAAAAAAGTTGCATGAAATTAAAAAAAAGTTCTGTTTTGAAATTATATTTTGATTTCTGATGAATATAAACTTTATTATTGTATTTATTTTTTTTTTCTGTTTTTATATATAAATGCATAAAAATATCATGAAAAAGTATACACATGCTCTGCTAAGTTAAATTAGAAATGGAGTCGTCTGTAAATTATGTAACGCTATGTTAAGAAGCTTTTTGAATCTCTAATTATTTAGTAATTGTGTTCTTAATTAAAAACTAGGGTTCATAGCCAAATAGCTCGTTACAGAAACCGTTGTCACGAAAATCAGTGTTGTCTGACTACCAATATGTGTCTGTGACATTAAATACGAAAGACATGAAGCTGCATTTAGAAGCCAAACGGAGTTGATTCACATTCCATTAAGATCCTGCCCTCGTATATTTCGTGTCACTTGAGGACTTGTCCATACAAAATATGATCCCTGAACTCTAACATCACCTGACCATTGACTATGACAGAATCTAAGCTGAAACACCAATGTTAGGCACCCAACTGATTTCAACAACTCTTGTTTGAATTACAGCCAACGCAAAAATATCTGTTTTTCTTGCCATACCCACACCTCTCTTTAATTACAGAAAAAGACAAAGGCGTCAATAAAGCCCACACTTTACGTTACATAATTTACAAACAATCCCAAATAAAAGAAAAATAATAAGTTTGTAAACAAAAAAGGCCAAATTTATAAAATATATACTGAGAGTAGTTTATCTTCATTCATAAAAAGTTTTCTAGTCTACCTATCATGATAAATTAATTTACATAAATCGTTGTATCAAAAAAGTTTTTCTTTTTATATATATATATATTTTTTTTTGTAAAGCTATGTATGAAGCAGCTCTTAATGAACCGAGAAAAAGTCTTCATCGTAATTTACTACTTTCATCATAAAAGGAAGACACAAATTTAAAGAACATGAAGAAAAGGGGTTGCCTAAAACTTAGACTTTGTTTAATGTTGGTATATATGCATATACAAAATTCTTTTCATCGTGTTCATTGACACATAAAAGTCCCAAAGAGTGTATATTTATGGTTTATTTTTGGGGTCTCTATACATATTAAATATGATTTGATTTTGAAGCTTTTTATCTTCTCAGATTCCATTTAATCACAAAAAATTAGAATACTTGCACTTATATTTTTTCTTCTTAGGGGGTAAAAGGTTGAAGACAGTGTGTAAAATCAGCTTAGTTTTGTTGAAAGTATCGGTTAAAAAAGCGCATCTAGATATTCTGAATCCCTCCTCCTGAATCACTATTCCCTAAATTTTCATTCACAATTCTAGCTCGAATAAAGTGTTTCATAAACTTATCAGAATTATAATCAGTCAACTTTTATCGTTCCGTGCCAAATTGAAATTTTTGGACTAATTCATGATGCTAGGGAAGAAGACTGCACCCACTCTTTGTTACTTTACTGTTTGATGCTATTGACGCTTCTACGATTTTCTTGAATTGCTGAACACCCAGAACAGTGGTTTAACAACTATTATTCTTGATAAAAGGCAGAACAGGTTAGAACTAATTGCTAATACACTCGTATATCCAAAAAGATTAGGCTAGCCTAATTCATCAATCCTTTTAACCTCAAATTCAACCTAATACGAATCTTTAACCTTTTCAAAATAAGCTTAATTTATTCATTATCTTCAATCTACTCACCCCCTGCTATTATCTAATATTATTAATTTTTTTTTCTTATACGGTAATCAAATACATAAAAATATACGATAAAAATATCTCAGTCATTTTATTATAATCATTGCGACCCTCTCCTCATTAAGTGGATCTCAATCATAATCATAATTTTTCAGCACATCTTTTTCAAAAGCTAATATTCACTCTGCCTGCCTTAATGGAAATTCAATAGCGTGAAAGGGGTTGTAATTTGGGATATTAAGCTTTTTGATAGATGATAAAGCATCCGGAAAGTGGAGACAATACTTTACATTTTTGAAAATTCTTCGCAGCTTCAATAACAAGCTTACATCTTTTCGAGATTATTTTAGATTAATTTCACTTGGATGCGAGAAAAGACATATTTTTTTAAGTATGATGAAGAAATTTTAGAAACAGCCTTGTAGGATTTTGCGATTGAGTAATAATCAGCATAGTAATAATCTTTTACTGAGAAAATGGATATAATTCTCGATAATATTGCTTGAGACTAAAAAAATTTATGTTTTAAGAATTTATTACAACTTCGTCTTAAAATAGCCTGAAGTCAATGGGAGGTTCTTAAAATTTCTTTCATTCAATTTAAATTCAAATCTCAAAAATCCGTTAAATTTCGCAAATATATTAGCTTTTGATGACTTAAATTTTTTCCAACTAAGTTTAATTATAGCTAATTTTCAATAATGCTTTAAATCATAATAAAAATATAAGAAAAAGAATAAGAGTTATGAAATAATTATGTATGCTATAATATTAAAGCACATGAATGTGTATGGAAAGAGTGATATAAAGTAAATATTGATAGCTCAATTTGTGCATATGGAATGATGTTTGTTTATAGCTTAGTTATGTTCATTGAAAAAATTTTGTTTTTAAAGCTATTAAGCATAAAAAAGACATGAGCATCATAGTAAAATATTTATATGATTTTTTTTTTTGTCGAGCTTTGCAGTGCTTTGCGGGTTTTGATTGGATTAAACAATGACTCTTTTTGCCCTATATTTACAATACCTCATTTTCGTCATCATGATCTTCCTCTTTTTGTTTACTGGTTCGATGATATTGTCGTTGTGGATCAAATGCGTCTACTATAATTTGCTCGGTTCCCTTTATCTCCGCTCTACAGAATGGGCAACCCTATATTAATTAAAAGATTGATTGAAATTAGAGATGCAAAAGGAATCGAAAAAGTTTCAGATTTTACCTGTCCTTCGGAATCAACTTGCCAAGCTGTAAGACATGGCGTGCATAACAAGTGTCCACAAGGTTCAATTCGTATATCTTTATCATTCTCCGCACAAATCTTACATAATTGAAAAGTACTTCCTGTAATTAGCCGAGTGACAAAAAAAAAAACGTAAATAAAAAGAATTAATACCGTAATCCGTGCTAATAATTTAGTTCCATAAAAAAAATAAAATAAAATACTGACCCATTTCACAATAAAGCTCGTATTGCTCTTGTGTGACGGTAATGTGATCTTCCAACGGACTCTGTACAGCAAATGATAAATCGGGGTTGTGAGGCCTGCCATTTGGAAATAAATAGAAGCCCTCTCTATGGAAATCAAGCATAAAAAAAATAAAGTTTTGATAGTGGAAATTTATAGATTCAAATTTGTCTTTTTCTTACCTATAGCCATCAAGGAGCGCCTGACATAATGATTTATTTTGCGGAATAGTCTGTAGAATCTCTCCATCGGCTGTTACATAACCAATTGCCCATTGACCAAGTCGTGTACACGATAATCTAAATACGTAACTACCAGCCTTAGTTATGTATTTCTGTAATCTAGCTTTGACTTCATCATACGTGAGAAATGCTACATAGGCAGGATGTGTGACTGCTAAAATCTGCCAATTTCGTAGGAGCGTATTCCAAGGTTGAAATAATCTGTGTTTAATTATAACGTCTTAATTAGTATGTGGATATGCTAAATAGACACAAGTTAAAGGAACAAACCTTGTAAACACGTCAAATTCAAAATTTGAAATGTAGTCATTACATGTCAAATCTATAGTTGTTTTTAGTGCCATTGCCTCAAGTCCTGATGATATCGGGTGTACTTCAGATAAATGTGCTCTAAATGTTTTCCATGGCACCAGTGTACTGGAAAGAAAATTTAAGCATGTTGCTTTAGTTAATTTGCTGCCAATTATTCTAAACATACATATTATAGAATTTTAAATATTTGATTTATTATATAGCTTGTCATATATTTTGTTTGAAATGTTTATACGATTTTATTAAGAAGATAAGAATGAAGCTTTTGAGCATATACATCTTTGAAATGCTAATGGAGAAAAAGTGATGAATACAGCTATGAATATATGTGTGTAAGCTCGTGTTCTGGCATCTTTAACTCATGAAAATAATTTTTTTTTGCTTCTTCTTAGCAACACATCAAGAACGTTTTAATATACGCAACGAAAAACTTTTTACCTACAGAACAAGCAGATGATGAAACTTTTTTTTCGCCACATATACGTGTGTACATGCTTCTTCATCGTAAAAACAATCATCCACAAAGTTATCATTTGTGTTTTGCCTTAATTTCCCATCCTTCAACTTCATTTCGTGGTTACGAGCATCAAAAGTTTTCTTATTCTAGCGTGAAAGATGAACGCTTTTAAAATTCTACAAGCATTTGGATATGTGAAGGCTGACTACATTGGGAATTTCGAGTGAGATATTATACATCTGGTTCCTTTGCAATGTACAGAGCTTGCAAGAAGTCTGGATCTTAAGGATCTTAAGAAAGCCATGTCTTAAGGATATGGGACAAAGATTCAACAGGCTGCATTCGTTACACACTTATAATTTTTATGACACAGGTCTTCATTTGAGAAGAAAGAATTATCGTTATTTCAGACTACTCCTTGCTAAGCTCATATAATTCTTGAATCCACTAAGGCTGTCCAAGTTTGACTGACTTTAACATAAAAGAAGTCTCGTTATGTCCAGAATTCTGATTAAGAGTCAGTAGTCAACCCAACGAAGAACATTATAATTGAAATGCCGGCAAAAGAGCTTCTTTGAACACATAATTTATCCAAACATAACACAATTACTTTTATTTGTTGAATGAAAATGGAATTTGAATGTTATTGCCGGAAAGTGACTTCCTGAATGAACAAGCATAGCCGAAACAAAGAAAAGGTACACAAATGATTATTGCACAAATTGAAAATAGATTTATAGACATATTAAGTATAATTTTTTTTTGACAAAAGTAAATGTCCATTTGTATGCTGGAGATGTAGAAAGGCAGTGCTACAAAAAAAAAGTATCAACTCATTCATTTTTATCGAGAAATGTGACATGAATTTTTCACTTTATCGCGCACATATTCAATTAAATAGACTGCGTCTGCAATGTTCTGTATCATGAATGAAGAATAAATCGATACAATCGTGCAATAAAAGTGAAATGTATGGGTTGGAAGAGGGAGACGAGCGAACAAATTGCAATGCTTCTATTGATTGTGAATCACTACAAGGACTTCGTTTTTTACAAATGAAAAGGAAACCTTTATTTTTGAATGTGCTTCATTTAATATTTTCCACAAGATACAACAAAAATAATATGAATGAATATTTTAAAATAATGAGACTTCCAGTAGTTTATAATATCTAAGTTTAATTACTTCCACTTTTCATCACACAAAGTTTCTCCCTTGTTTTATGAGCTGCACGAGTTAGGTCAGGGTCAATAAAAATGAAAAACCGTCTTCGTTGGAATAGATTGGATGGATGTAGAGGAATGGGATGATGAATAGAAATTGAAATAGAAGCATTGTAGTAGAATTTTTCAGGCATGTAATTTAAAACTTTATCGTAGCTTCAGTCGCAATTAATTTTGTAAGTGAATTTTCTATTATGGACGTTCTTTTCGCATGAATATTATATTAATTGTGTAAGACGGATATCTTCTTGAAGAGGATTTTGTCCTTCTCGTAAACTCAATAATCTTGGAATTAAATAATAATCTATTAAATTGGAAATCATTCGATGGATAATCGATAATTTGAATGTATATCTAGTGTTGTTGTCAGTCTATACGACTGATCCAATTAAAATTTGAGTCTACTAAATGATCAAAGACTGGTTTCTTTAGCAACCTAGAATAATCTTCTCTTGAATAAAATCAAGCTTGAGTGTGACTAGGGTAGAAATCCTAAGAGTAGTCTTAAACAGGTTCTGGGTCAAAAAATAATGCAAAGGCTGAGACATTGTCTAGGCGCCATATAATACATTCAGATTCATCTAAGAATTAAGATTCTCTCTAGGTGTCAGAGCTAGATTAACTGTGGCATCTGTTAAACAATACTGTAAACATTCATTCGGATTTAAATAAATCCAGATTATCCGATAAAAGTTGTTAATGGATTGTCCAATAAATTAATTATTTTATGTTCTTTAGAAAGTAGAGAATATCAACAGTATAATCATTACTCAGTAGGAGCATTCGGGTTGATCAGTAAACAATCAGCAAGACAATGAGGCATTTCATCAATATACTAATAATTTCTTCAAGATCTGTGTCGGGTCTCATATAATTTTATCAAAGAGAATGAAGAAATTGTAAAATAGAGCTGGACAAATGTGGATGGTTGGAAAATGAAATAAAAATAACCGGAGAAAGAAGGAAAAGAAAGAATGGAAAGGTATAATGTATATAAATATGCCTTAATATTGTGTACTATATACACACCAAATGAATGAGTGAAAAAAGATGCTACAACGGAATAAAAACAATATAAGTTATAGAAGAATAAAAAGAAGTCAGGCAACATTGAAAAGGAAAAGAAACTAGTAATGAAGCTGTTTGTCAAACGACATTTAATTTAAGCGCATTTCGTATTATATCATAATATGATTTAAGCATGCCTTATTATGCTCAGAATATAGAGATAATAAATTCTTAATAGCCATGGAGCAATGCATATTTTTCATTAGTAAGTGAGTCAAAGTGACTCGATTATAATATAATTTAAATGCTAAGAGCATCTCTAAGAGATGAGAATAATTTATTGAGAACGGAGATGGATGCAATAATACTTACTTGTTTCCGAACCGCGTCTTCCAGAACTCTGCAGCATCTGATTTTGTTATGCGAAACTGATCTCCAGCAAAAGTGCCATTTGGAAAGATTGCCTTTAACTCACTCAGCATGTGTGAGAAAACTAGACTTAATTTGGTAAGATTACGTCGATAGTGTGAATTTTCATCAAACATTTGCATTTTTCCCTCCTTAAAAAGCTTTATTGCTTGCTTACACTTTCGCATTAGATTATTTATAAATACGGTAAAGTGTTCATTGGCGTGCAAAACATGCATTTGGTCTTCATACTTGGAGTAGATTAAATGTAATCGCTGATAGGTGTCGGGTAGAATGTCGAGAATAAAGGGAGGACTATTTTTTAGATTCATCTTACTCTGCTGACATAATTTAACAACTTTATCCATTAGCTTCCATGTCTTCTCCAGTGTCTTCTTGTCTGTCATTAACTTTTGCTGCGTACAATCCGTTAATTTGCACTGAATTTTTGAGAAAAATGTTAAATTTTTCATCATTTTCAATTATATCACTTCTCCCGTTTTCCTCAATTTTTCCTCTGATATTATAAACAAAACAAATGAAAATTTTTATTTCTAGATGTTTGTATATTTTTGGGTCATCAACACTCTCTGTTTTTATACTTTTTTCCTCTTGCTGGATGTTATTTTACTTCACTTTACTGTTTCTTCTATTCACTTTTAAACTTTTCTCTTTTATTTTTTTGTATATTGTATCATTGTTACTTACTAGAATTTTTGTAAATATTTGTGGCACATAAAGATCATTTGGATAATTTAATATTTTTTTTAAACAGCTTTAACGACTACGATATCTCGTATAATTCATGTTTATTTGCCGAATAGCAAACTTGGATGGCGAGAATACATTCATATATAGATATACTTTTGAACAAAAATTCTAGTCAGCAGTCAGTTCCATTTATATTTTTATATCTCTCATATTTTCATCAACTATCATCATTTTCCAACACTTTTCAATCTTTTTTCGAATCAGATTTTCCGATACATTTAAAGATACACATTTATAGGACTTTTAATGTGATAAACTTTTTCATAACTCATACAATATATATATGCTTCAAAAAAAATGACCTCATTTGTACATCACATAAATTTATTCCGACAAAAAATCACTTTTACATCGTTTCTTCTCAATACTTTTCCACACTAATTCCCAATAAATGTCTTTTCAAAATCATTAATCACTTATGTGCATTTTAAAACCTAATATTTAATAAAAACTGTACGATTTTTACAATAGAAAAATACCTAGATCAAAAGAAAATTTTTCGTCTACTTAAGGGTAGATCTTGTGGAATGGTTTGGAATTTTGAAAAAGGTGGACATTTAAAAGATCTCAAAGGAATATGAACTTATTTAAATAATTCTTAAAAATATGAGGTTTTAAAGTTATAGTCGATTGGATGTAGATTTAAATTAAAATTTCAATTTGTTTCATTTTAGTTGCTTACAACTTAGTTTAAGCATGGATAATGAAGAAAAATGATAAACTAAGGTTATGTAATATCATTTTAGTTATAAATCTGGATGAATCTTAAAATTATCAATTGACATTCTGCAGAATCAACAAATTTCATTAAATCAAGTAAATGTACATTTTTAAGAATTCTGGATCACCGTGTTTTGAGAAGTCTACCAACAATATATAAACAAGTAGATCATTTATGTTTCAGAAAAAATCAAATCGTTAAAAAATTATGAAACTTTTATAAATTTAATTAATTTCCTAGTTTATAATTGTGTTTATTTTGTTTTGATTTGAAAACTATTTAGAGCAAATTTATTTAAAAACATTCTTAATTAACTAAATTAAGCGGTTAAAGCTATAAACTTTAAATTCTACAATAGAATATCAAATGTTCAAAAATTGAAATTAATTTTAATTCAATTGTCATTTTAAAATTGTTTAATTTTTATAAATTTCGGGAATTCTTTTTAAATTTAAGCAATTAATAAAACAATGATACAAATATTAAACATTAAAATAAGAAATAATAAAGAAGATGCGAAAATCTATCCGCATCACTAAAAATAAACCCAAAAGCACCACTTTCGAGAAAATCTTTATCCAATTTGTATTCATTTTGGCCTCACTCTGTAGAGCTTAATCAACCTACTCAAATTTTCAAAAATTAATTTTATCAAAAATTTAAATAAAGACTCGTAGCTTTTAAAAAATATTGTTTTCAAATAATTTCTATTAAAATTGTTAATTAAATCAATGTTGTGGAAAAATGCACCTTAGTCGAATACATCTGATAATTTTTCAACAGTTTATAAGAAAAAAATCAAAAAATCAAAGTATTTTGTTGTAATGAATTAAATTTTTAAAATTGTTGGAAAACACCAGAAAATTGACATTAAAAATGTGAAATTAAGGACATAAGTGAATAAAAAAGTCAAAAAGCTCCAATTGAGGTAAAAAGTTTGTGATGAAAAGCACTTTGTGAAAAATCAGGAAAATTTGTAGTGAAAAATGGGTGGAAAACTGGTGAATTTTCGCAGAAAGTCTGAAAGAAGTTTTAGCCAAAAAAGTCGTGATTTTTCAATTTAATCAAGTTTGTTTTTAACAGATGGCCACAATTTTTGGGTCAATCTATTGTAGTCTATTTAAAAACTTCCTATTTTGATCAATCCATTCATTGACCTTTTTAATACACAATTTTGCAATAAATGGAGAAAAATCAGAAACAAGAAAGAGAAAAAAAAAGTTTTTTTTTGTGAAAAACAGTAAGAGCACTTAATAATAAAAATTTTAATGCTATTAGTAAATTGAAAAAGATGTTTTAATGCCAATAAGTAAAGTGAAGAATTAATTTTGCTGATGATTGATTAAGAGATTACCATGTCTGGAAAAATAGCATTAATTAACTTTTCTTCATATTGAAAAATCGCTTGATGAAAAAAATCATTGGATGTGCATTAATAGACCAGTCAATAAGCTAAAATCAATGAAAATTTTTAAAATTTACGACTCATAAATCTTGAAGGCCAAAGCTAGCTTTTTTAGTGTCTTGGACAACTCTGAAAAATACATTCTCTGCATGCATACTTGCTTGATTGGTTTTGCTTCATCTCATCTACAAAAAAACTTAGATTCTAAAACCCAGAGATTTGTTAATTTAATTAAAGACCAATGCTGAAACAAGTCTCGAGTGTATTTTTAAGAGAAGAAAAATCAATTCAGATATTATGCATTGAGCTGTCTACAATTGACGTCCTTTGAAAGTTGGAACAGTTCATTTCTGTCACAAACTTTATCTTTTTACTAGTCCTACTCTTAACCTAATTCAAGCATATTAAGTATTCAAATTAGATTCAGTTGATATGTTACGAAAGAACCCAGCATGCCTCAACGTGGTCACACTAGGCGCTTAGCTAGGTAGGAAAAGATTTGTTTCCCCAAAAAAGTCAAATTCTAAGTGATAAAAATAAACTTCAGTTCTGTTCTACATTTTATTGCCCCTGGAAATTTTTGGCTCCTCCCCCAGATCATATTGTGTCATCACCCTCACTCATAGATTAAATAGACGTCATTAGGAAACAAACCCTATGTCAAAACGAAATTTATGTGTCGAAAAGTACATAAAAAAAAGTTCATAGATGATTTTAGAGGTATTAAAATAATGTTACTTAAGCTGCGTGTGGGTCAATCAAAGAGCTTTTTTGAAGTGAAAAAAAGGCATAAAAATAAATTTCCTTATTTCTTTTCATGTTTCCGAAAACACATCATTACTTCGTTAGCATAAAAAAATGTTAATAGTGCAAAAGAGCAACAACAACAACAACAATAGCAATCATAAAGCTGAAAATAAAAACATTAGCTTGTAAATTAGATGTACATTATTCAATAGCCGAGAAATTAAAATTTTGGCGAGCATTGAAACATGAAAAAAAAAATAATTGGAGATGATTTCTCTTACATAGTGTATGGAAATGTTTGAGATTAAACATATATGTGATGGGTTGAATAAAAAAAATAAAAATAATAATAAAAAAAATTGTATTGTGGAAATAAAAAAATAATACAAGAGAGAAAAACTTTCTAAAAAATTCATCATGACTATTCGTAAATGCAAATAGAATTTCATTGAAAAAAAAAATCACTAAATCTCAAGTGTAATTTATCCAAAATAATGCCTAGACATAGGCGAAAGAAACAAAACAAAAAAAAGCGGAGCAGTGAAAAACCGAAAACCATATTCCAGTTTACAAGGAAAATTATAGCTTATTGAAGAGTGAGATTCACATAGAAAAAACTTTTTTGGGCTTTGAATGATAGACCCACAAATCGACTGTCTAATAATAATACTGCACTTAGAGAAAAATAATAATTTATTTGATGAAAAAAAGTTTTAATTGTTGGGATTTATTTTTGGGAGTGCAATTTAATGATGTCTTTCCGTGTCACAAAACTTTTATTTTAACAAACACAGACCCCTTATTGTTCAAGTAATTTGAGGCTTCATTTGAATCCATACAGATTTGTTCGTTTCGAAGGCCACGCTACGAGGTTGAGCCTTAACAAGTTGAATCAAAATTTTAACCCCACCTGTCTAGGACTCTGCTTTGTTTATTTTTTTTGAGTTCCTAAGGGGCTGTTCATTTATGACGTCCAGGGGGGGGTCAGACAGAAAAGAACAATAGAAATTCCTGGAAATCCATTGTTCGTTTTTGAAAAATGACCGTTATTTTGGACGTCATAATTGAACGGCCCCTAACCATGAGACATAATTTTTATTTTCACGGTTTTGGCAATCTTTTAATGGCACCCCTAGCATTGATCCTTTATTTTGGCGCTTCATGATTACGACTCAGTCTAGACTCTCGATAAAATTGATCAGAAGCTTGTCATGCTATATAAAGAAGATCATACTTCACAAATGCTTTCAGCGATCATATCCAGTTATAAGGACAAAAATCCCATATTTTTTTCACATAAAAATCTTTCCATGAGTGTTAACAAAGTTATTCTTTCTCTCGAAAAATAATCACTTATGCATAACAATAAAAGGTTATAGAAAATACAAAACTTTCATGACTACATAATAGATCATGAGTATATGTACATCCATCGTCTATTTATCCGAAAAAAAAAATATTAAAGCACATAAAGAGAGAGAAAAAAAAAATTGGTAACACTTGAGCGATTTGTAATTTTTTTCACTTTAATTACAGGCAAAACAAGCGAGAAGGTATAAGCAAAATAACATCACATACATTTGAACTGTGTCGAGTATAGTGTAGAAGAGAAAAAAAAGTAAAATAACTTTTTTTTGAGAGTCATAATGTAGCAAGCAAATAGGAAAGCAGAATTTATCAATACCAAGCAACATTTAACAATTATTTATTAAGAATCTCCAAAAAGTCAGAATCAAAAAGATTGCTAGAAAAGAAATCACCAATAAATAGAACATCAAAACAGCATTAACCAATATTAAAATAAAGAAGTGAAAGAAATTATAGTCAGTAGAGGAAATAGTGAATTATTTCCATCATTATGGCAGCAATTGTTTATAGTACTAGTCCAAATAGGGTGTCATCAGTAAATCAAAACCAATATGGTAGCTATGGGAATGTCAATAAATCAATTCTAAGTAATCATCAAACACAACACCATCATACACTTACCAGTGCACCATCGATATACCAACAAAGCAAAGAACATCATAATAATTACTTTTTGTCGCACTCTCGAAATTATAAGCGTAAATCAGCCGTTGAATTGCTAGCGGAAACTAAATCATATTATGTTAAATCGGAAAATGTTCTTGATAGACACCAACAGTTGAATAATCGCAGCTCAACATTATCATGTAAGTTAATTTATTCGTTAGGAGCCATTCAGTCATGAACATTATGAAAAAAAAAACTTTTCTTATATCCCCATCACTTAAACACGTTACGTAATACGTGAATAGCCCCTTTACCTGACAAAACCTATTCACAACTTCTTAGTTTACTCATCAATTATTCATATTTGACACTTGTTCTTAATTTTCTTGAGAGATACTTCAAAAAAATATTTTCTCCTGTCCATTTTAGTTGCTCTCTCGCCATCCAGAATACCTCTGTCGCCACATCATTCATATTATCATCAAACATCAACAATGGAACGTCATCCAAGATCATCTTCGAGACGATCAGCTTCGTCAGGCTCAGACTTATTGCAAACTAAATTAAGGCGGTTACTTAATACAGAAAAGGATTTGTTGGCATCAAGTGATGATATTTTAATTCCACCACCACCGAAAAATTACAACGACTTTTATCAGCAGCACCGCTCGCCGAAAAATTATCAAAAACAGTTGACAGTTCATCCATCAGAATCACAGAGTGATGCAAATGTTTTCTTTCCAAGTGCATTTCTTTCACCTCAATCTTTGCCTCCTCATCCAAGTGAAGATCTTGATGTATTGTACTCATATACTATAAATGATAATGATGAATTTTTCGAAAGACCAATATCACCGCCAGAGCAATACCAAACTAATGCAGCACCAAAGAAGGGAAAAATAAAAAAGGAGAAGCAGAGATATGATTATCAAAGATCACATTCACAGACTATGGCTGCAAATGAGTACGAACCGAAAGCATCTAGGCGTAATATTAAGGAGTCTTATTCAAATTCAGCAGCTAATAATATTAATAGTCATAAATCAATGCCTGATTTACATACACAAATATCAAGGCATTCACCACACAGTGAATATAGTTCACGTGGAAATCGATCAAATCGTTCAGGAAGTTCTGGTTTTAATCGTGATTCAGGTGGAAGTTCAGGTCATTTTACTCATCGAAGTGAACCGTGTTGCAAGCAAATGGAGAAAATTATGATAAGTCAGCAACAACAGCATTCGAATGTACAAAATCAACAGCAAGACTATAGACGTGATTCCGGCAGTTCCACACAACATTCTGGAAATTCATATTACACTTATCAGCAACAACAATTTCGATATGATTGCATTGAATGCAGAGCAAAGATGCGAGAAAATGAAACAATGTTTGTTGTTCCAGAAGCTTTTCAAGATAGTTATCAGGAAAGTAGTGATACGTTGAGAAATACATATTATAATCAGCAGACTTCAACATCTATCGTAAGATCCCCATCACCAATATCCTCGTCACAAGATGTTCTCTCCCCATCATCTCAAAAAATGGAATTAAGTCCACTTAGTCCGCCTTTGGGAACATTTAAGAGACAGAAGTGTTTACGATTTAAAAACTTTCGATACTCAAACTCGACAAATGTCGCACAAACTTCAACTAGTCAACCAAATTCACTTCAGATACAAACAGAAGATGATCGTAGGCCAATATTGAGGTCAAAGTCAGACATTAGTGATCGCTATTGGAACAAAGTTCAACTGCAGCCACTTGAAATTAGTGTTAAATCGAGACGGGAGCGATATCAGCAGACGATAAGTGAGAGTTTTGGAAGTAATGGAAGTGCTGGAAGTAGCGGTGGGAAATTAAGTAGATCAGATTCTATGTACGAGTTAGAACAGTTCTTCGATAATTTAGGATTAGATAATAAAGAATTTCAGGATACTATTGCACGACCTCGAAGAAAGCATCAGAGATCTGCGTCAGCAGTTGTCCAATCAACTTATGAAGATAATGATTCTGATCGTTCGAGCGTTGTGTTCTTCTCAGACGCTAGTACTATCGACTCAAATCGTATTATAGCTAATACAGCCGATAGTGGACCAAGTACAGCACAATCTGGACAAAATAATCCAAATATTTATAGACCGAATAATGAGCCGCCAAGCATTGTCGAAAGAAATGCACGAATTATCAAATGGCTTTGCAATTGTAAGAAATCTCATTTGCTCTAAGCTCAAATGCCATTTTGATATTAATTATTCAAGGGAGTGCATTAAAACAGTGTACAGCAATAGACACTTATTCAAAATCTTTTCAATACTCTTGTTCCTTTTTTTACGCATAATCAAATCCTTCAACCAAAACATCATGTTACTTAAGTTTTATTATGTCAACGAAATGTACTGTCCTTATGTACGAACACCAATATTTCAGGTCCTCATCTTAAAATTTTTGATCTAAGTCTTATTTAATCTAAATTCATGCATAATTTCAATCCATGAAATTTGGAGTTAAAATTTTATAAAATATATTGAGGATCTGATCAAAACTGAATACAAAGTTGAACAAAATCCTTATGCGCTTTATAAAGAAAATAAAAACGAAAGAATAACATGATATTGTTAAGAAACAAGAATAACTACATAGATCCCGAAAATATCCCCAATCAACAATGTGCGATGCAATTAAGATGAGCTAAAACATTTTTGACTAATGATCAGAACTCATAAGTTTAAGCCTTTAAAAAACAACACTAAATAGTAATTAATAATTTTTGAAGTCATATGCACATTACGTACTTAAAAGTATTAATTAAAACATTTTGTTACTTACTGAAAAATTTAACAATTTGGTGCGAATTTAGTTGACGGATGATATAAAAAAAAATTTAACTAGATAGCTGTAACTTATTTCAAGTAAAAGTAATGATGATATAACATTTAAGGTATTATAATACTTACATTTTTTAATGTGATATATTCATTTTTGGATTTTTAATTTTTCGCAATATACATGACATTAACACATTTATTTTTTTGTTTCATTGAGACAAATCAAAGAAATGTGGATGACAAGGAATAACCAACTGAATCAATTTGCATTCATAAAACAAAACTAATCACATTTAAAAAGACTTTCAATTAATCAATAAAAAAAACATAAAATGAGAAAATTAAGATAAAAAAAAATTATTGATTGAGAGTTTGGGGGTCGTTCGGCTTTTAGTGGGATAGATATTAAATGACAGACAAAGATAAACGACTCCTTATGAAGTTGTAGGGAATCAATTCGAAGCATTAAGAAAACTTAAAAAAAACACTATTAGAATGCATTATTAAAAGTATTAAGTGTGAGTGAATGAACCTTTAAAAAAAAAAGTTGAAAAATAATTCATTAAAAATAGCGACTGCTTGATTATAGTGATCTCTTGTCACTAAAACCAAATCAAGCATATTATGTTTACAAGACATTTTAATTACTTAATATAATTCACTTAGCAGACAGAGAAGAAAAAATAGAGTCATTCGGCGATCATTAAATGTGTTCATAAATCTAAAAAAAAAGAAGAAAAAAAACATATATGTACATGTCAGCATATATCATAATACCATGAAGCATTTCCGTTACAAATTTCCATTACATACGTTCTGAGAATTGTCAATTACGGTCATCTTCTTCATTTAAATGGAATAGGTTGAACTATTTTATTTATTTTTGAACAAAATTGTAACCAATTCATGCAAACAGTTTCAAAATCATTAAAAGCCTACACAAAACTATTAAATTTATTTGAAGAAAAAAAACGATACATTCATTAAAATGTCCCAAGATTTTTAAATATACAAATAACTGCACTTTAAGTTTGAAATAGATAATTTTATTGAACTCAATAGATGTCGTGCAATAGATGAAACATAATAAATATAATGATAATAATAATAAGATTGCTTAAATAGAATCATCATAGTTAAAGAAGAGAATACTTTGGTAATCTTATCTCTCATTTTCAAATCATTCACCAAAAAAAAAACTAATATCAATGAATCTATAGAAGAAGAAAACCTAGTAAGATAATAGACTAACTCATTTAAATTTCAAATAAATCGAATAAAGAATATTTAAGATTTAAGACAGTTTATGATTAAATTTTATTTCAATACAAATGAGGTTGCTGACCAGACTTTGTCAGGTAATAGATAGCAACAGCTCGAATGAGAATCAATGCCTTTGACACAAAAAATAACAAAATTTGAGAGATTTTAAGGACATGCAGAAACCTCAATAGAATCATTTGGTTCACTCTTAAAAAGAATAATAATGATCATATAATATAACATTAAGCAAGCATGCATAACATCAAAGTTTAGAGATCACATTTCTGTAATAAGAACAATTTTAATTTTTTTGTGCTAATTCAAGAAAATTGATTTCTTGAGAAAAAAAAGTTGTAGATTTAATGAAAAAATAATAATGGCTACATCCTTAGTAACTTTATCAAATAAAAACCAGTTTTAACTGATCGAAAATCAGAAAATATATCGAATTTTATGTGTATAATAATATGTTTATTTAAAACTATTTATTTCTTATTGAACATTATTACGTGTTGATTTTTTAAAATGATATTTAACATTTATAATTCTTTCTAATGTAAAACAAACTGAAATATCAAGTTTTCTTTATAAAAAAAATCTTTACATTTTTCACTCTATTGTATGTGATTGCTATTCTTTGTTTAAGGAAGAACTATTTCATAATTAACTGAAATCATAGCAATTGATATAGATGTGAAGTTTCACAAGCTGTTGATGAAAAAAAGACGATATTTATAAAACATTTACGACATTTCTAAACATATAGAAGTATAAATTTTTGAAAATAAATCTAGTCTTACATTCAATGTAAAGATCTGAAAATCTTAATTATACATAAGTTATCCTTGAGGACATATATTTGATTTTGAAATTTTTGTGATCATTTTTTAAAAATAAAACTCTTTTTATCAATATTATACAGATAATTTTTTTAAGAATGAATGTAAAAGCAAAATCTTGTGTATTCATTATCATTTGATTTTCAATTCAATGAAATAAACACGAATCAATAAAAAATACTTTAAAATAATTAATCAAAGTTAATTTCTGTTTTTTTATTTCTCTTGATTTTTCTTTACAACTGAATATAAAATTTATTACTTCAGGTTAGCAAATAATTGCTTTCAACTGAACTTATCTCATTTTGACTTTATTTGTCTACAGTTATAAATAGATTATCCTTGTAGTATTTAAGCTCTTCTATGCTTTCCTTAATATCATCTAGTGCTCGATGTTTTAGTTTCTTTTTTGGCGCATTTTTATAAACAGAATAATTCCAACGTCTGCACAGTTCCTTAATTGTTGATACATCAACAATTCTATAATGTAAATAATCATCAACTCGAGGAAAATATCGTCTTAGAAATATTCGATCCATATAAATTGTATTGCCTGCTAATGGAGTCGATTTTGGATTTACATATTTTGATAGAAAATCAATCATCAGTTCTTCTGCCTTATTTTCAGTCACTGTTGATTCTCGAGAATTTTCAGCTAAATCTTTTAAATTTTCTTTACACCAATCATTCATACTGTCTAATGTTTCCTCATTTTGATGAATAACTTCACAAAAATCGTCAGAAATCACATTCAACTTCTCGTCAGTTACGATCATTGCTACAAAAATTAAGAACTGATTTGAGGGAATCATTTTTTTTATTTTAAGTTACTTACCAACTTGAAGGACACGACATTTTTCAACCTCCAGTCCTGTAAAATTTGAATAACTTTTTTTTAATGTTCAATGTTCAGAATATAAAGGTGAAGAATTTTTTTACCAGTCATTTCCATATCCATCCACACCAATTTGCTTGCGTCCATCTTAGTCGATAATTTTCTTAAACTATTAAAATAGTTTTGATTCAGAACTTTCTTAATAATGCTAAACATGAATGTTTTAGGTAGAAAAATACAAATCAAAACAACTTACAGTCTTTCCTCAAATAGTCAACATGTGGTTTTCTTCACAGCTGTTTAATACATTTTGTGACTACATGCTCTATAAACAATATTGAGAATTCTGATGAATCAAAGATTTATTTTTAAAAATAATCAATCTCAACTATAAGAAATTCCATTTTGAATCAGGATTCATAAATTAGCTTAAATTCTGAATTTAATAGTTCAATTACAAATTGAGACCAATTAAAGCTACTGCAACAGTTTTTAAAAATGTTATTGATTTCAAAGAAATAAGTTCCCATTGATAAGACATCATTATTAAAATAATTTGGTAATTGAGCAGATTATAAAAGGTTTTATCATTCCTGATAAAGATATCTTAAAGACTTCCTTTACTAATAAACGAATAAGTTGCTAGATTTTATCAGAAAATAGCACATTAATATGCAATCGTGTGTGTTCTTAGAGAGATATATATAACAGTTCTTACAGTAATATTTGTTTATCAGCACAATGGTTGTCGTAGAATGTCACAGGAAGCATATACAAATTTGTTAATCTTAGGGTTTTCATGATTAAACGAGTATGAACTTTTCACCTGAAGTGAAATGAAGCGAAGTATTTTGAAATTAATCTAGCATAATCTAGAATTAGCTCAGGTTTAAAGAGCAAAATCTACTGTAATCAGTTGAGTGTCCAGCAGTTAATTATTAACGTAGTATTTTGATTCTAGAACCAGTCATTATAATCGCTATCCTTCCAATCAGCTAATATTGCTTCAAACTTTTTTAATTTCAAAAACCAGATGCACTGAACATTTTGAATTACAAAGGACAAGGATAATTGCTTGATTCAAATCCAAACAAATTCAAATTCAATCCTTGTGATTGAGCCTTATTTTAAAGGTTTATAAACTTATCCATTATTTAAAAAAAGTATGCAATACTCGCTGCGTTGGATTATAATCATCTGCCATCGTATAGCAAAAAGCTCATTTTACTTTCAAAATATGGTAAAAGCAAATATGTAGAATGAAATGTTAGTATAGGAAACTTACGTAAACATTTGAAAATTACCATTGCATTGTATATTGAACGGTGCAATTAAGATTTCTTATTTACAGGCAAAAGTTATCAAAATTATAATTAAAAGTTCTAATCTTATCAATATCCTGGATGTATATATATATACTTTCAGAATGATAAAATAAAGAATTGATCTATTGAATTTTTGAATAAATACGGCCGGATAACACAAATTTCTCTACAGTTGTGTTTTGTGATTTGAAAAAGGAACAAAAATGAAATTGATTACTGGATTATTAGTGTTTGCTTTTGCACTCGGTGCATACTCTCAACAGGAAACAGTATTAACTGTTCAGGATGAGTTAGGACTTACTCACAGATTTTTTGAAACGATTATGGGAATTAATCGTGGACAACTTTCTGCATATATTTATCGCATTACACGAGCTCTTTTGGATTCTCATATGGACACATACGAATTTATTTTTGTTAATGGTGCTGAAGCTAGAGATCATATCAACAGTTTAAATGCAACAAATGAAGGCCAACAAATGTGTCTAGATACATGGACTAGACGTTTTGAACTTCAAAAACAACGGTAATGAATATTATCAAGTCATGATAATATGTTACGTAAATCTCAAACTTTTATTCCCATCAGATTCGGTCAACGATTAGCTCGTTGTATAGGAAACGTTCATGGTTATTTGATGACATGGAATAAGTAAGTACACAAATTAATGTGGAATAAGCAATAAAACCAAATGAAAAATGCAGCTAGTTTAAGTTTTTGAATATTATTTAAAGATATAAATATTGTTAATTTAACAGTGTTGTCAATGGTCTACACGGTAATGGTCAGGCACAAGCAGCTCAAGTTCAGAATATTGGTTTCAATTTGTTTGCAAGATCAACACTTTATGATGGCCCAGAAGATTTCGCTGCATTAATGAAAGTAGATCTTAGAGATGCAATTTTCCGCATCTTAGGAGTAGTTGATCAAGTCGAAGAATTCATCAGAAACATCTCAATCAATCTTGAAGGTATTGAAATTGAATTTGAACGATGTGACAGAGCACTCGAGGAAGCAGTTATGGTAGAATTACAAGCTGAAATTGAAGGTGCAAATGCTTGTGTCGGTGCAGGAGGTCCAACTGATCCACTTCCCACAAACTAAATAAATTATGTCAGTTTTCTAGAAATTAGAGAACTTTTTGAAGTATAATATATTCTCGAGGAGGTTTGGATTAGCTTTGGTAATTCTTATATACTTCTTTTCAATCTAAATTTATAAAACTAGCAATTTTATTGAACTTCCTAGATCGTTTAAAAAAATATCTTATCATAACATGTGTGGCAAATAATTATGAAAAAATAGTAAAAATCGGTAAAGTAGAATATTGCTTTTGTTGATGAAAATTGTTTCATTACCACAAAAGCTTATTTGGCACTTGAAATCAACGAAAAAAAATTGTAAGTTCGAATCTAAAAATACTTCAAAATTTTCTATAATTTCGGGAAGAAAATCATAAATTTGTTTTTTTTTAAATAAATTTCAAAAATCTTTAAAATAAAAATTCTTAATTGTGTGTTCCGAAGCAAAACCAATCCCTTATTTTGGAAAATCTAAGACTTTAAAATTTAAAGGTTTATGTGAAATTTAAAATGGAAAAGTGAGTGTTTGCTGGAAACCAAAAAGGCGTTCGATTGATGATCTGTTGTAGAATCAACTATGGAATCTTGAGGTCCTGAAGATTATGTGGAGCTGAACTATTATTCAGAAAATTTGTGGTGAGTACATTTTTAATTCATTATTTACAACTAAAATTTTTTTACAAGTTTAAAGACCAAATATAAGTATCTCAAGTAACATTATCAATGAGCAGATTAGTGAAATTTCATTTCAAAAGTTCATCAATGAATAAATGTGTGTTAGAATCTTTATCAATTGTAGAATATCGGGATATTTGCACACTCTCATCTTAGTGGTTATATACAGATAAGTTTTTAATAGTATTTTTCTTGACTCCTTATAAAACAATATATATTTTTGGTTGTCGATAGATAAATTTATGTAATTTTAGCAATATATACTAAAAATGAGATATAAAAGAGTAGCTAGTAACTCTATTGTTTGCACTTAGAAGCGCATTTAATTAAAGTCACGGAAAAAAGGGTGATTTTTTGAATATTTAATTTTAAACTAAATAGATATCTTGTTTTGATATTATTATTTGATAAGGAAGCTTCTGAATAACTGAATAGAAGTGTAGACAAAAGCGTAAAGTGTTTTTGTAGAAATGTGTTAACGAGATAAGCACGTGAAACCTAAGAACTTAATAACAACATACATTGAACGGTGCAATTGAAATTTATCATTTAGGTAAAAGTTATCAAGAAATTAATAAAAATTCTAATCTTATCAATATCCTGGATGTATAGATATGGTAAATAAAGAATTGATCTTACAAATTTTGAATAAATACGGTCGGATAACATAAATTTCTCTACAGTTGTGTTTTGTGATTTGAAGAAGGAACAAAAATGAAATTGATTACTGGATTATTAGTGTTTGCTTTTGCACTCGGTGCATACTCTCAACAGGAAACAGTTTTAACTGTTCAGGATGAGTTAGGACTTACTCACAGATTTTTTGAAACGATTATGGGTCTTAATCGTGGACAACTTTCTGCATATATTTATCGTATTTCACGGGCACTTTTGGATTCTCATATGGACACATATGAATTTATTTTCGTTAATGGTGGAGAAGCCAGAGATCATATCAACAGTTTAAATGCAACAAATGAAGGCCAACAAATTTGTCTAGATACATGGACTAGACGTTTTGAACTCCAAAAACAACGGTAATGAATATTATCAAATCATAATAATGTGTAACGTAACTTTGACATATTTATTTTCGACAGATTTGGTCAAAGATTGGCTCGTTGTTTAGGAAATGTACATAACTACTTGTCAACATGGAATAAGTAAGTATCCATTTATTATTCCTAATCCTTATTTTGAAACATTGTGAAAAATAGATTATTAATTTTTGCTGCTTCTTAAGTTATATGAATAATATTTAAAGTTGTGAATATTGTTAATTTAACAGTGTTGTCAATACTCTCCACGGAAATGGTCAATCACAAGCAGCTCAAGTTCAGAATATTGGTTTTAATTTGTTTGCACGCACAACACTTTATGATGGCCCAGAAGATTTCGCTGCATTAATGAAAGTAGATCTTAGAGATGCAATTTTCCGTATCTTAGGAGTTGTTGATCAAGTTGAAGAATTCATCAGAAACATCTCAATCGATCTTGAAGGTATTGAAATTGAATTTGAACGATGCGACAGAGCACTCGAGGAAGCAGTTATGAGGGAAATTCAAATTGAAGTTGATGGTGCAAATGCTTGTGTTGGTGCAGGAGGTCCAACTGATCCACTTCCCACAAACTAAATAAATTATGTCAGTTTTCTAGAAATTAGAGAACTCTTTGAAGTATATTAAAGTTTTGAGGAAATTCTCGATATACTTCTTTAATCGAAATTTCAATGAAGATTTAGTAAAACTTTCGCAAGACGTTCAAGATCTTTTAAAAGAAATCTTATCTTAACACGTGTGCCAAATAACCAGAAATAGTGAAAATCGGTAAAGCAGAATGTTGCGTTTGGAGATAAAATTAATTTTCACACTTCATTACCACTAAAAGTTTATTTGGACACTTGAATTCAAAAGATTAGCAAAATTCGGATCTAAAAATACTTCAAAAATTTCTCTAATTCCAAGAAAAAGTTCAAAAAGTTATTTTTTCTAAATAAATGTTTAAAAAATCATAAAATATCGCAGCTATTCTTAATTGTGCGTTTTGAAACAGTTCCAATCCTTATATTAAGAAAAAATAAGTTTTGGAATTTAAGTGTATATACGGAATCGAATCAAATAAGTTAAAACCTTGCTGACATTAAAAAAGGCAATGGAATTGATGATCTGACTAAAGAATTTAGAGGCATCTATGGAAAGTTTGTTTCATAAAATTTACGGTGAGTCCATTTTTATTTCATTTATTGATTCTAGTTAAGATTTTTCACAATTTAAGACTTATAAAAAAAATTGGTAAATCATGAAAAGCTAATGTCAAGCTAGTTGAACATCAAAAACATGTCTGCTAGTTCATATCATAAACATTATTGAAGAAATTATTTCCCTCTCGATAAGATAAAGTATCTCAAAAAACATTATCAATGAGCAGATTAGTGAAATTTCATTTCAAAAGTTCATGAATGAATAAATGTGTGTTAGAATCTTTATCAATTGTAGAATATCGGGATATTTGCACACTCTCATCTTAGTGGTTATATACAGATAAGTTTTTAATAGTATTTTTCTTGACTCCTTATAAAACAATATATATTTTTGGCTATCGATAGAAAAATTTATGTAATTTTAGCAATATATACAAAGAATGAGATATAAAAGAGTAGCTAGTAACTCTATTATTTGAACTTAGAAGCGCATTTTTTAAAGTCATGGATAAAAGGTTAATTTTTTGCATTTTTAACTTTAAAACTTATTAAAAATATCTTATTATGATATTAATATTTGATAAGAAAGCTATAAAATAATTGAAAATTGGTAGCATTGACATGAGAAGTGTAGACAAAAGCATAAAGTCTTTTCGTAAAAATGGGTTAACGAGATAAGCACGTGAAACTTAAGAACTTAATAGCAGCATACATTGAACGGTGCAATTGAAATTTATCATTTAGGTAAAAGTTATCAAGAAATTAATTAAAATTCTAATCTTATCAATATCCTGTATGTACATATTAAATAATTTTAAGAATGTTAAAAGTTTGCTTCTTTTGCAAACTTCAAAGTTTTAAATAAATGCGATGGGAAAATAGTAAGTTTGCTTTAGTTCTGTTTTGTGATTTGAAGAAGAAACAAAAATGAAATTGATTACTGGATTATTAGTGTTTGCTTTTGCACTCGGTGCATACTCTCAACAGGAAACAGTTTTAACTGTTCAGGATGAGTTAGGACTTACACATAGATTCTTTGAAACCCTCATGGGTCTCAATCGTGGACAACTTTCTTCATACATTTACCGCGTCACACGTGCAGTATTAGATTCTCATATGGAAACATACGAATTCATTTTCGTTAATGGTGCTGAAGCTAGAGAGGAAATCAATAGCTTACAACCACAAAATCCAGGACAAGAAGCATGTATTAATCAATGGAGAAATCGTTTTGAACTCCAAAAACAAAGGTAATATAAATTTAATCAAATCATGATAAGGTATTACGTAAGATTCTGACACTTACTCCAATCAGATTTGGTCAACGTTTGGCTCGTTGTTTAGGAAACGTACATAACTACTTGTCAACATGGAATACGTAAGTATAGATCTAATTAATCATTAATCCTCATTTTGAAATCTAATGCAAATTGTATTAGAAATCAGCGCAGCTAGTTTAATTATTTGAAAATTATTTTAAAGTTGTGAAAATTGTTAATTTAACAGTGTTGTCAATGGTCTTCATGGTAATGGACAATCACAAGCATCTCAAGTTCAGAATATCGGTTTCAATTTGTTCGCACGCACAACAGTTTATGATGGCCCAGAAGACTTTGCAGCCTTGATGAAGTTCGATCTTAGAGATTCAATTTTTCGTATCTTAGGAGTAGTTGATCAGGTTGAGGAATTCATCTCAAACATTTCAATCAACATTGGTGATATTGAATTTGACTTCGTACGATGTGATAAGGAACTCGAGGATGCTGTTATGAGAGAAATTCAACTTGAGGTTGATGGTGCAAGAGCTTGTGTTGGTGCAGGAGGCCCAACTGATCCACTTCCCACAAACTAAATTATGTCAGTTTTCGAAAGATTAGAGAAGTTTCTGAAATAGAGTATGATTCAAAAGTGAGATTACAAAATCAATCAGTAATAAAAGGTATGATCATTAATTGTCGTTAAAGCAGATATTTTAAGACTTAATTTAATCCTAATTAGATTAATTATGTCAAACTAAGACCATTCAAAAGTTTGTTCTGTAATTCAAAGACTTCTCTAATCCTTCTATAGAGCTTGTTCTAAAGGTTAAAACTTTAAATAAATTTTTAAAAATATTAAAAATGGTCATTGTTACTTTTTCGATCTTATATTAAAATTGAAAAGCTTTTTGAAAGAATTTTTATCATTAAGTGCAAAAAAAAAATAAAAAATCAGGTGAGCACAATATCCTTTTAAAAACAATGGTTAAATACTCATATTAATTGATTTATCTATTATTTTTACAAAGCTCAACATCAATTTAAACCGGAAGCTAAAGAAACTTTGGGCTAAGTGTGTATCGTGAATCGTGAGTATTGACATTTTTTGTTTGATTAATAATAACATATCATAAGGAAAAATAATTTTATATTTTTCCCTGCAAGTTATCGATCTAAACAATTATTTTAGTAATTTAGCAATTATTATAGAAATTGTTCTTTTGATAAGGTCCAAATATATTTTTCAAATTGTCAATGGGGAGATTAATATAACTTTAATCAGTTTTGATAACAAAAAACTCAAGCTTACTTCATGAATGGGCTTAAGATTTTATCAATGAAAACAAATACATGAAACGCATGTATGTGTATCTATTTTTTAAATTTTATTAAAATTCCTAGTTTTTCTATCAAATTATTTAAGCTACATATGTTCTATATTGTCTGAAAAAAACTTCTTGATTATTAAATCAATATCCAAAGATTGAAAAACTATTATTTATCCGGAACATTACGTAAAGTCTAATTGTTTAATAGTAACATACATTAAAAGAAACAATTAAATGAAATAAAATTTAAAAATAATCTTATCAATATCCTGTACCTACAAATTCAAGAACTATAGTAGTGATAATATTTTTTGAACTTCAAAGTTTTAAATAAATATGACCGGATAATAGTAAGTTTGATTTAGTTTTGTTTTATTAGTTGAGGAAAACAGAAAAGAAAAAGAATAATGAAATTGATCACTGGATTGTTAGTTTTTGCTTTTGCACTTGGTGCCAATTCCCAACAAGAAACAGTAATGACTGTTCAGGACGAATTAGCACTTTCTCACAGATTCTTTGAAACTCTTATGGGTCTCAATCGTGGAACAATGTCTTCATATATCTACCGTCTTTCACGTGCAGCTTTAGATTCTCACATGGATACATATGAATTTATCGCTGTTAATGGCGCAGAAGCCAGAGACCACATCAATAGCTTACAACCACAAAATCCAGCACAAGAAGCTTGCATTGATCAATGGAGAAATCGTTTTGAACTTCAAAAACAACGGTAGGAGTTTACATAAAAGTGATTGTTACGTAAGATTTTTAAGTTTTCATTCTAATTAGATTCGGTCAACGATTGGCTCGTTGTGTTTCACAAGTCAACAATGTTTTGAATACATGGAACAGGTAAAATCTTTTTAAATTAAATTTAATGAATGCCTCAGAATTACGCAATAATTATAGTTTTATCAATGGTGTTCATCATGAGGCTCAGTTAAAAACAGCTCAAATCCAAAACATCGGTTTCAACTTGTTCGCACGGACAACAGTTTATGATGGCCCAGAAGACTTTGCAGCCTTAATGAAAACAGATCTTAGAGATGTCATTTTCCGTGCATTGGGATTGATTGATACAGTTGAAGAATTCATCAATAACATATCCGACAACGTTGGTGATATTGAATTTGATTTTGTAAAATGCGATAAGGAACTTGAAGATGCCGTTATTAGAGAAATTCAATTTGAAATAAGTGGCGCTGAAGCATGTGTTGGTGGAGGAAGCCCAGTTGATCCAGATCCTTCAAAATAAATAATTAAATCATTTCCGTCAAAATGTTATCGCAAATTGGTCTATTGATAAAAGACAATAAAAGTTTTTAATACTATCAAGACGTTTTAATAACTTAAATGCCTTTTTTTTTATTTTCAATTCCGTTAACCAAGATTAGATTAGATATAATTAAGAGTACACTTGCTGCCTTATCTCATTATTACGTTTGTTTCATTCATTTCCCGGTTGTTGGAGATAAACTTGAGTTAGCTGTTAAAATACACAATTTTCGGATATTTATTGCTAAAATCTTGAATTATTGGTTTTTAATTTTTAAAGGAAATGAATTGACATTCTTCTTTGTTGACAACTTCACAATCAAGCAATAAAAAAAGTAATTTCCTGTTGCTTATCTTTCCACCAGACAAGGATTTGACATAGCTTTTAAACTGAAAGCTCTTCAAAGCTGTAGAACTTTTTTTTCTAAGATGATAGAAAGTAATTTCAGAAAATTTGACAAGTTTTATCTTTATCACATAATTGAATCGTGGTTATACGCATTCTTTATTATGTTATCAAGTTATAAGTACAAATAAAACAGTAATAATCAGTAGACATTCAGTTTGCACACAAAACTTCTAAGAATTAGAAGCAATGAACTTTTTATATTTAGTCAGCGCATTATTTGCCTTAATGCATTTTCCATCATATTCTTCCGCTACAATGACTATGAGGGAAGAATTACTAAAAGCTCAGAATGAACTTAATATTGCCTTTAAATTTAATGAACTGCATTTGATACAGTTTACGGATTTGTGGATGAACAATTTAACTCTCTTAAGCCAAGATCACTTTGTACCAGGTTTTTTGAATGCTCGATCAACATTATTAGACATAATTGAGGAAACATCATCCTATATCAGTTCATTTGACTCAAGTACTTGTAAGGATAGAACAGAGCACTTGTGGAATAGGCAAGCGTCAATGATAGGAATTCGACTCCAATACTGCATGAGAATCACAAAAAGGATTGTTGGAGATGAGATCAATGACGTGTAACTATTATTACCTATTTCGAAATCAGATTAAGTTATTATTTTTATCTTCATGATTATAGAAATTTACATATTCCAAATGCACAAAGATTAGTAGTACATACACCGAATCAAGGATTGAACATATTATCACAAAATTCAATATTAGAACCGCCAGGTCACATTTACAGATTAATTAACAATCGTCTTAGAGATTTGCTTAGTCGAGCTGTACGTAAGTAATTCATGAAATTATCTTGATGAAATTTGTTAATGACAAAGCTGTTTGTTTTAGCCTGGATTTTAATAATGGATGAGCTTGTAGACTTATTCTTCCATCACATTCACACAGCAGAAATTATGGTTCAAAGGTAAATGACATAGAATACATATTAGTAAAAATTGACTTTTATAGATTTGGATGACATGAATACTTTGCAGATGTCATGATTCAATTGTTGCTGGATTTCGACAAGAAGCTGAAAATCATCGCAACATGATTGAAAGTTGTTAAACACTTACACATAGACCAATTGAACACCATGAACATTCAAAAAGAAGCATTGAAATTATTTCAAAATCCTTATTACTTTTTACGCTTTGCTGGTTGTTTCCGAGCTGGAGCTGGTTCTGAGTCATCAGATTCTTCAGAAATAGATTTTTCTACATCGTCATCATCATCTGTTCCTTCCTCATCAGAAATCAGATCCTCGTCTTCAGAATCGTCATCGACCGGCAAATTTTTCTGCTTTGCCAAATCTATCAAAAACTTTTTAGTTTTTTTCTGCTCATCAATCTTTCCTTCCAATTTTTTATTCTTTTCTTTCAATTTCTGAACTTTTTCAACTGTTTCTTCTGTTTTTTTCTTGGTCTTGTCTCGAGATTTTTTGACAGCCTAATCGGAAATTTTGCTTTTTCATTTTTAATGTAATTTTGACTTACAATACTCACATCGTTGTTTCTCTTCCGTTTATCTACATAGCCAGAATCAACAGCCTCCTCGTTAACTTTTGCTTTTTTGGTTTTGGGAGGCATTTTTCAATTAACTTTGATGAAACAGCTAGCTTGCCTTCTTGTTTTATGATTTTCAATAAAATGGTGAAATTCAAAAATTTTATTCACGTTTTAATAATTTCAATTTAATTTATTTGAAAATAATGTCATAATAAAATCCTGTTATTGTAAAAGTTTCAGGAGTTACATTATATTTAAAAATAGAATTTTGTATTCTATTTATTGAAGATCAGAGATGAAGTGACCAATTTAGATACACAGAATTTCAAATTGGTATTAACAGGTAATTTTATAGAATGAAACATGATTTGAAATGATTGTTCTTAATACTTTATTAAATGAATTTTATATAAACACTTACACATAACATTTATTAACATTATTACTTTCTACGCTTAGCAGGTTGTTTTCGTGGTGGTGGAGCCGGCTCAGATTCAGACTCTTCTGAATTTGATTGACTTTGACTTTCATCTAATGTGCCATCTTCATCAGAATTTATTTCATCGTCATCGGAATCTTCCTCTTTTATTAGCTTCCACTGTTCTTCTGTTGGATTTTGCATCTTGCTTGTGGTTTGTTGTAGAAATAGATCCTTTAAAAACTTTTTTGTCTTTTTTTGCTCATCAATTTTTCCCTCCAATTTCTTGTTTTCTTCTTTTAACTTTTGTACTTTGTACATTGTCTCTTCTGCTTTCTTCTTGGATTTATCCCGAGATTTCCTGACTGCCTAAAAAGTTTACTGAAATTATCTTGAGAATTATTGTATATTAGCTCATTTCTTACCTCATTATTTCTCTGTCTCTTGTTTACATAGTTTGGATCAGTTGATTCGACATCAGATTTTGGTTTTTTACTTTTTGGTGGCATTATAAATTAAAATAAATTTAAATCACTTTTCGTATTTTGTTTACCTATTTATTTAGAAATTTTTCAAAAAATGGTGAAATTCATTCGAAAACTATTTTGACTGTTATCATATTTTAAATTGAAATATTTTTTAAAAAAAATTGAAAAAATCAATTGGAAAATTCAAATAATTTTTTAAATCTTCAAACTAGTTTAAATCAAATATTTTCATGATCACGTGGTGAGTTTTGAAACAATCAAGAATTAAATTTAAATTTAGAAGAAGTAAGATTTAATAAATAAGTTTAACGAAATTATTACAATTAAATAAAAAGGTTTGGGCAATTCTTTAAGTGTTAACATAGATACTTTTTTAAGCTTTAAGATGTTGACAAACCACAATTTTCTAATAAAAAAAGATATTTTAAACTATTTGATAAGATACATATATCTCCAAATTTTTTAAAATGGTATGATTAAGGTTTTTTATTTATTATTCAAAAGTTTAATTAAAGCTCATTTGCGGAATTTCCCAATTCTGTAAATTTTTTTACACTAAATATTATTTTTCATATAATAAATTAATTGTAGTTATAATATAAGGCATTTTCCGTTCAAATTTCTTTAAAAATCTTTTAATTCTAATGCTTAATTCTCCAAAAACATATGGAAAGTACCATAAATTAGTGCAGTGAATCGCAAAAAAAGTATTTTTTAAAGAATGTGTGATTAAATGTTAAATTCTTGTATATAAAATTAATAAAAACTTTGAATTGTGCTTATTTGAAAGCTAATGAGTGATGGAAATAAGTGAAAATGTCGAAAATAATAAGCATCAGAGAAATTCAGGAGTTTTACACTCGACACAGAGTCAACCAATTTTATTGGATTGCGAAGAAAATACGCAGGAGAATAAGGATAAAAGTGCTCAGAAAAGATCCAGCAAACGTCGAGTGTCATTTGCAAGTTCTTCGCAACTGACTCAATTTTTGGAACCACTGAATCCTTTCGAATCTTTTGGTAAGAGAAAATAAAGTTTTAAGGAATTAAAGAAAGAGAAGAAAAAAATGCAATCACTCATAGTACACACATTATATCACAAAGCACTTTTTGCTTAATGTGAGCGAAATCAAATATATACATAGAGTATAGCTATAGACAATAAATATATATATATGCACATGTATAGACAACTCAATATTTTCTGTAATTTTCCATTGTGTCAATAACTACAAATTTTATCCTTCGTTTTTATCCCAATTGTGCGTAATGACTGTTTAGCAGTTCCAGTTACAAGTGCAGAAGAATTGTCAAATGTTTATAAAAGATCATGCGATAAGCATAAAACTCAACCGATTCCTGCTATCATTGAGCATTTGGAGTCGTTGAATTTTGAAAAGCTATCAAACGATAGAGCAGATGCATTGAATTTGAAGCAAACCACACTTACATATGACTCGTGCGAGGCACTCGAGGAGCTCTTTAAGAGAGTCAAATATCGAACCATTGATTTAACATCCTGCTCATTAGATGACATTTCCGCAACATCACTATTTGACATGATTGAATATTATGAGGCTTGTAATGAATTAAATATATCCGAAAATACCAACATCAAAAATCGTGGATTACTAGCATGTAAGTTTAGAGAGTCAATCAATTTCGTTTGATGACAGTTAATAGCCCACAATTTCATTATTTCAACAATGTTCTCTTTAAAATAATAAAGGCATAAACATGATAAAACGGTCTCAAGCACTTCATAGTTTATCGACTAGAGGAACAATAATCAGCGATTCAAATGGTAAGATAATGTCTTATTTTGATCATTAATTTTATCGCGCCACTAATTATGCTTTTCATATTCATAGCAAGTTCTCTTGGAAACGCTCTACTGTCATCGTATATCTACACATTAAAATTAGAACATGCACAGCTAAGTGGAAGACCAATTTTGTGCTTAAGTATGTTTAATATACATTACGTTTTATCATCAATCATATCTCTAATTGTTTGTTCTATCTATCTATCTCCCCATATCTGAATGTAAATAGGTGGTGCTTTACAGAAAAATAGGGTCTTGAAGGAGCTATGTCTTGCAAATAATGAACTGACACCCAATGATGCCTTTCATATTGGAAATATCTTGAAAAACAATTATCATCTACAGCTACTCGATATTTCCAATAATGACATCCAGGTGAGGCTTCAATATTAAATTTCAATTTTATTTCAATTCAATGAAGAAAAAAAAATTAAAATCATTTTTAGAATGAAGGATTTCGCCATTTAGCTGAAGCGTTGAGTTATCAATCAGTTCATGTCAGCAAAACTTCATCAGCTGACTCGTTATCATCGTCATCAATAAACAAGTTTGATTTTAATGATTTTACGGCAAACTTAAACAATATCAACAATAATCGGAATCGTTTTTCTCCAACTCCACCTCCGCTACAAAATAATAAAAATAATAATAAATCTCGAAATGAAAATTCAAGTATAATAAGCGTTAATAATAATAATAATAACAACAGTATTTTACCAGTATGTGATAGTGACAAGTCAAACGATGCAACCGGCCGGAATGAGGATGAAAAGCAACAGCAGCAACAAAAGAACAAGGAACAATCTGAGAGTGCTAAGATAAAAATAGGCGTTGAACCGAGCATTAGCAGTGAAGGAGGAAGCAGTACGACGACTATTGCCATAACAAGTACAAATGTGATTGATGATGCAAAGAGTTCAGCTAACAATAGCAATCGTAAGTTCAAATATACGTCTGAATCATTATCACCCATTTCGCACGGTTATGATGATTCGACAGGTACTCATACATTGTTCAGTTCGCATTCGCCTGAAAGATCATTTAGCTCGGAAAGTTTATGCTCAACAGAATCTGTTGAGTCAAATGACTCGAAATCATCGATAAGATTGATCGAGTCAAAGTTCAGTAATAGAAATGGAACATTGGAAAGACAAAGTTATAATCATTATTCTTCATCAGCTGTACAAGACAGTGCTGACAAGAAATTAACTGGATTGCAAGTATTAATTTTATGGAATAATAATCTCTCATCAGCGTGCGCTCCGAGCACTGCAGATCTCTTTGAATGTACAGAATACTTACAAATAATTAATTTTGGACAAAATTATATAGGCAATGAATTTCTAGTGAGCATAAAATCGTCACTTAAATTGAATGAGAGTATCATAAGCCTTGGCATGCAAGCAACAAATATAACATGTGATGGCCTTAAAGTTCTGGCAGAAGTTATTGAGTTTGGTGGAAATACAACACTTCAAAGAATCGATTTGAGAAATAATAATTTATCTTTAACCGGATTAAGTACATTAAGTGAAGCTTTAAATTCAAACAAGACTATAACACGAATTGATTTAGATGATGCGCCAAAGAATGAAATGTTACCAGTTAATGCTGAATTTCAGCGACTAATAAGTACGATAAGGCATCAATGTTCAATTAATGAAAATCCACCAGAACAACAACAGCCGTCTGAACAAAAACCATCATCTACGGCAACATCCACAAATAAGTCGCGAACTAAAAAGCCACATTTTACATCGAGAAAAATCTCCTTGACAGTTATTCCATCTGGCGTTAAAATCGTACCGAAACAACAATTGCTTGAACCAATTAAGAAGCAAACTATTAATCGTTCACCAAGTCCTATATTATCTCCGTCTTCGCCTTTAACCAGCCCATCAAGGAGTCCATCCCGTAGTCGTTTTCAAGTATCGAGAGTCTCTGAAAGCTCAAGTAGTGGAATTGGAAGTAAATCTCCATCATCAAGTAGCAGTAGTCCAACATTTTTTCCATCATCCACATCATTAAGTTCTCGTTTTCGAGTTATTGCTGTTAATGAAATTCCAAAAAAATCCGATATCAATAATCAACCAATCACGCCATTGAAAGTGTCAGAACAGCAAAAATCTGAAAACATAATGACGATGACAAGAAAAGAAATCGATATTTCCACAATACCACCATCCATAAAGCCTATTTTGAATATTCATTCAATAGCATCGTCGCAAAGTGACGATCAACTTGATTATGAGGAAAAGAGATTTATCGATTTAGATAGCTGTTCATCATTTAGTAGTTCGATTGATTCAATTGATCGACAAACTGATATCAGTTCAACTGACAGTTTTGATTTGGTAGAAAAAACACCAGCCGATATAAACGATAAAACCATAAATAATAATGATGAAGTTTCCGAAGATAAGAAAGATATATTTAGTAATGAAAACACTCTAACTGTATCGACATCGTCATCATCGTCAAATGAAGGATTGACGCTTACAACAAATAGTCCAGCAGAATTATCTCCAAAACAGGAGCCACATAAGAGAACGAGAAAAACATCATGGATTCATTCAGCTATAAGTGGAAGTAGTAATAAAAATAATACTAATAATGAAAACACATCGGCATCATCTTATCCTGCTACTCTAGATAAATTGCTAAATTTATTTCATCATCCAAGTAGTATTTTTTCAAAAACTAGTCCCGATTCTTCATTAAAAGCTAGTAATGAAGATCATTCACCATCACAGCAATTACTCCCACCACAAAAGAGTTCAGGAATGGGACAAAAGGAGAATTCAATTAGTGGATTTTTACAGTCATTGGTATCATTAACGCATAACAAAAAGGAGGAAAAGTCTCCTCAAGAATCGACCATTTTACAAAATATTTCACCTGAAAACACAATTGGAAAGAATGCCTCCAACTCACAAATGGTTCTCGAATCACTTCCAAAAAGCATCAAGAAAGAATTGAAAGAGAACATTTCGCCAGAAAATACAATCTCGTCGGAGAATTTAGCTGGGATAGAGAAGCAACAAAGGGGATTGTCAAAAGTCGTATTTGTTGTTGGTGAGGATAGTAGCCTTGATTTTTCTGAAACATCATTCGATGAGTCCTCACATTCTGCAATGTTGAAACCAAATGATCCAAAAAATGATGATTTATCTTTTGAAAGTCATCCACATTCTCTTGGAGATATAGCACGAGATTCACTGGCAGTTTTTAAGTCAACAAATGATCAACAGGATGAATCATAGATGATAATTTGCAGAACAAATGTGTTCAGTCACTTCAATTGGTTGAATGGAACGGACTCCTTTATTTCAGTTCATATTATTATAAAAAACCAAAATGGTTAAAAAATTCAAAAAAAAAACATTGCGATTTGGTGACTTTAAATTAAAAACAAAAACAAAAAAAATTATAGCTTAAATATAGCAGCAGAGAATGGTGGTATTTGTTCTCACTACTTATCAAGAATCACATTTTGATTTCGTTTTAGCTAGATTACTTAGATATTACCATTAAATTAAAACTACACATAATAATAAAAATAAGAGGAATCTATTAACGAAAATATTCCCACCATTGATTGTATAGGAACAAAAAAACAAAACAAAAAAAATATATACATGTATATTAATGAAAGGATCATTTATCGAAAAACAAAAAACAATTGGAAAAATAATTTGGAATGTAAAAAAGAAAAATATGAAAGTGTTTTTGAGATTTTCACAATATCACATGGAACTAAAAAGTCTGAATTATTGGATAAATGATCCCACACATAACAAAAAAAAAATCTTTATGAAAATCACGTTTTTAACAAAAATATCGAAAAGAAAATTCCAATCCCTTTTAATGTTTTTTTCCCTAGCTAGTAACGATTTCGAGAAACAAAAAATAAGCACCTATATTAATTTTTTATTAAGAGCGCCTACCTATCTATTTCTTTTTTCTACATTCAATATACCAAATTTCTTCTTTGACAAGATTATAATTTTTCTGTGATAAGGGTTTATTCACATTACTTTGTGGATTTTTAATAATCGATAAATGCTATTCATGTGGTAATTATGTGACTTTTACATGAGCGATGTTTATCTACGTTCAGTCACGTCAGTTGACATAAAAAAAATATGTACATTAAAGAAAAAGAACTACTTAAGTTACACTTTTGTATGAATCAAATTAACTTAAAAAAACTTGACGATTCTTCGTCTGTATCAAAAATAATTTGATTATGCATAGTTCTCTATTTTGCTAATAATAATAATAATAATAATAAAACCTTATGTTTTTATGAAAAACAAAATTGGATTTACACCATCAACAAGATTTTTTTTTTATCGTTGATTTGAAACAAATTTACTTAATATGCAAATGATGTGAAAATTTAAAAAAATATAAAATTTAAAAAAAAAATACTTAAACTAATTAGGAACACACTGACAAATTTATTTGATAAGCTTGTAAATATTACCAATTATAAATTAAACTATGAGAAAAATGAAAATATTATTAAGAGAAATAAAAGGATTTAATGAGTCAGAACAGGTCTATTATTTCAATTTTTGTATGTAAACAAGGAGGGGGAGAGGGGGTAGTTCATATTGCTACTCCCCTGCCTATTTCTAAATTGGAAATATCCAAAACTCTACGTTTGTAGCATAATTAATGACGCAATCGATAGAAGCAGTCATGAAACATTCATCTTTTTGTTGCATGCAACCAGTATGTGTGAGAGAAGTACAAATGGATAATGTCGAATGGACATCTAAAACTTTACCAGTTTTCTGAGATGACCGTTCAAAACACCTAAAGTTTTTTACCTCTAAACATTTCAAATTTATAAAACCTACATTTTCTGCATCTAGAGTTTTTAATCTCTATATAAATTTGTATATAGGTGTTAAAAACTGCACGTGCAGTTTTTTACTTCTAATGATTTTTCTATTAGAAGTAAAAGTTTTTTATTTTGAATATGAATGAAATTCATTTTGATTCATTTTGATTGAATGGAATTCATCATGATTTAAGGAGACTTGGAATTTATTTGATATTTCATTGAAATTGATAATTTGGAAATTGATCACGTATAATTTGAAATTGTGAATAAATAGTGTAATTCTTTTTATTATTGGAATTGAAATACAGTCCACTGGAAAATCAACTTGCTATCGTTTTTCATGGTCCTTCGAACCTTGCGATTGGAACAGTTGGAATCTTTAGAAGTTGGAAGACATTGAGAAAAGTTGAAGAAATTGAGAAATTGAGAAATTTGGCACGCAACGCAAGTACGCTTTGAAATTGCAATTGAATAATAAAAGTGAATTATCAACAAATTGAAAATTAGACAGCACATCATAAACGCTGAAAATTCTGGTCAGCATCTATAATTGAAATTGAATTTTGGTCAAGATTAGATTCATATTATACTTGTTAAAATCAAGATAATTTGAAAACGAGCGTGAACCCGACGCAAGAGCGCAGTTATCATCTCTAAGAAGCAGAATTTAAGTATTTGACAATGGCACGAGCAAAAGCAATAGATGCTCAAAAAATAGAAATGCAATCCATTATTGATGCATATGAAATTTTGATGGAAATACATGAACCAGGAATTGATTATGAAAACATCGATGATATGAGTACAGCTTATAGCATCCTGGATAATTATCTAATTAAATTTATGCAACATTACAATGATTATCAAAACTTAAAGAAGGATGATGTTGATCTAGACAGTGAATTTTTTTCAACGTTCAAAAAGCAAATAACATCGAAGCATCTAGGTTTTAAATTTTTGTTTAATAAAATAAAAGCAAAATCAGAAAGACAGTTCGGTGTTACAATTCGAGAAAATGAAGATCGACGCCATCAAATAAGAAAAGTCAAGTTACCAGAAATCAAATTGCCAGAATTTGATGGAAGTTTCGACAAATGGTTAACTTTCCGTGATACTTTTGTACCATTAGTACACACGAATTCATCATTTTCTAACATCGACAAGTTTCATTATTTGAAAAGTTCTATAAAGATAGAACCTGCATTTCAAAACATCCTCAATAATTATCAAGTGACAGATGACACGTTTGAAAATGCTTGGGAAGCATTATGTTCGAGATTTGATGATCGTAGAGCAATGTTATTAGAATATACAGATTCATTGTTCAAAGTTGAGAAAATTTACAAGAGATATTAAAGTTGGTGGATTCATACGTCAGCATGAGGTCATCGTTTGTAAAACTGAATGTAACTGATCATGAGTTTATGGATTTGATGTACGAAAATATGATCAGAGATAGACTTGATAAATTTACCAGAAGAGAATAGGACTTGCACATGATTAATCATAAACCAACATTTCATGAGTTATGTAAATTTTTGGAAGGAAGACATAAGTCAGTAAAATATACGGCTAGTGATCATCAATTCCAACATCTTCGAAATATCAACAAGAGAATAAGCAAAATAGGAAAACTTTCTTGTCATACAACAAACCTGTTGGTCTTGTATACTCAATTTGTTCACAAAATCACTTGAACAGTAACTGTCCATCATTTCTCAGAGAGAACATTGACAAAAGATTTGAAATAGTTTCGAAGCTCAAACTAGGTATGAATTGTTTAAGACCTGGACATATTGCAAAGAAATGCATAAGTTCAAAAAATTGCAATGCATGTGGAAATAGACATCATACGACACTTCATCGAGTTAAAGCATCAGACGAAGAAGCTTTCGAAAAACCATCAACAAGCAGTTCATCAGACAAAAGATTAGTGATAAACAATAAAGCATTACTGTCATCAACTCAAACTGTACTATCAACAGTAAAAATATTGATTTGTGACAAAGAAGGTAAATGGCAAGTCATAAAAGCTGTTATGGATTCTGGTAGCAATGGACATGTCATCACAGAAGCAACAGCAAAACGACTGGGCTTATCTCTTAGAAAAATTAATAGAGAAATAAAGGGAATCAATAATATTCCTACTGATGTAAAATACGAAGCTGTCGCAACGATTAAGTCAAGATATCCAAGATATTGTAATTTCAAAAATACCATAACTCTCGAAATTTTTCTGTAATTACAGATCAGTCACCTACTCATTATTTTGAAACTAAGACGTTTCAAATACCCAATGAAATTTTTATGGCTGATCCAGAATTTAAAGTTCCAAGTGATATTGACATGTTGATTGGTTGCAAGATATTTTGGGATGCTGTATTGAAAGACAGACATCAAATATCTAACAATGGATTATTAATTCATACAAAGTTTGGATGGATGTTTAGCGGAAATGCAGAATGTAATGAAAACTTAAAGACACCATTATTATCAATGTCACAACAGCCATCACTTGAACAACAACTAGAAAAGTTCTGGATGATTGATTTAGTCATGTTCGCACAAAAAGTAATCCTGCAGATCTAATTTCACGAGGTGCAACAGCAGAAAAATTGAATAACTGTGAAATGTGGTGGAATGGTCCAGATTATCTTCAAGAAGATGTAGAGTGCTGGCCACATTCTTTATTAAACTTTGATTTGGATAATTCCGAGTATAAAAAGGAATTTCGTCGAGTTTTACTTGTAACTCATCCATCGTTGAATCACATCATTCATTACATTGAAAATAGATATTCTCATCCAACAAAGCTATTTAAAATATTTGCATCTTTATTAAGAATATTAGATAAATGGATGCAGATTATGAGCTTCTAGGTAAAAACAAAGTAAATCATCATATACAATTACATTTTTTCCCTCAAGAATTGAAGAAGTTGACAAAAGGAAAAGAAGTTTCATTATCATCTAGTATCAAACAACTGTCACCATTTCTAGATAATTATGGTATTATGAGAACAAGAGGTCGCATTGGTGAATTTGAAATTTTAACATATGAAAATAAGCATCAAATCATCATGTGTCAATTTGTTTATAATTTGATTCGTCAGATTCATCAGAAACGTTGATAATTTGCATTCGACAAAACTTTCAACATTATTTTTTGTGAGACAAGTTTATTGGCCTGTGCAAATAAAAGCGATGATTCATAAAATCATCAGTAAGTGCATCAAATGTTTTCGAGCATCCCCTAAGTGTCGTAAACAAATTATGGGAGATTTACCTCCAGAAAGAGTAAATCAATCAAATGCATTTGAAAAGGTAGCTATCGATTATGCTCGACATTTATTAATTTAAGCTAGGAAGGTTCGTAATACAACTGCAATGAAGTCCTATATCGCATTATTCAAGTGTATGTCTACAAAGGCAATTCATTTAGAATTATTAACGGATTTGACAACAGTGGCTTTAATTGGCACATTCGATAGATTTATATCACGCAGAGGACTTCCAACTGATATCTACAGACAGTGCAACATGTTTTGAAGGTGCAGGCAATGAATTCAAGAAATCGGCTAAAGATTTGGAAGAACAAATTCAAGAATATTACAATGACAAAAATATAAAATGGCATTTTATTACACCTCGAGCACCTCATATGGGAGGATTTTGGGAAAATGGAATTAAGCAAATGAAGCATCATTTAAAAAGAGTTATGACAGATCGATCTTATGTAGAATTGAAGCAGTTTTGAATTCCCGACCCATTACATTTATAAGCGATAATCCAAATGATTTTGAGGCTCTTACACCTGGCCATTTCTTGATTGGACGGCCGTTGAACAGTCGTTTGGTATATGGAAGTTTTGGTATAAGGATTTGATCAACGCTTAAATAAGACCAAAAGATTCAACAAAAAAGGTTCAATATTATTTGAATGATTTGGTTCTCATCATGGATTCGAATGTACCATCAATGAAGTGGAAAATTAGAAAGATTGTTATTCTACATAAGGGAAGAGATGTTCAAATTAGATCCGTTACTGTAAAGACATCTTTAAGCAAAATTAAGCGACATGTGAATTATATCTGTAAAATTCCTACCGAGACGGCAGAGTGATGAATGGAATTCATCATGATTTAAAAAGGAAATTGATCACGTATAATTTGAAATTGTGAATAAATAGAATTTTCTTTTGTAATTCTTTTTATTATTGGAATTGAAATACAGTCCACTGGAAAATCAACTTGCTATCGTTTTTCATGGTCCTTCGAACATTGCGATTGGAACAGTTGGAATCTTTAGAAGTTGGAAGACATTGAGAAAAGT